AGGTGGCCCAGAGATAGGGAGACGCCGCCCGACCATTTCAATCTACTTCACGGACTACTAGCGCCACACGACTTGTTTATGTTCATATGGGCCAGGTCTGATTTTGGTATCTCCCAATCACCCCCCTTCCCACCCAGGTGGCCCAGAGATAGGGAGACGCCGCCCGACCATTTCTACTTCACAGACTACGAGCGTCACAACGCGGAGATCGCCGCGTACCACCTGGACCGGGTCCTGGACTTCCGCCGCTGCCCGCCGGTCTCCGGGCGCTGGTTCAACGTCACCAGTGAGATCAGACACAAGTCCGAGGACGACAAGCTTCTCAGGACCTTCTTTGTTTCACCAGGTAAGTAAGAAATACTGCTGGTTAGGAAAAACCTATGGGACAGTTCTCATGCTGTAAGTAGCTTGTCACACGATAGCCTGGTATCCAGTCTGATTCGTGGTAGGGGCCGAAAGAGCTCTGTCCCACCCGCCTCACATAGGTTTCCCGGTGTGTATTTCACGAGATTGATTAGCCCTCCACCAACCAAATCCCCAAGCATACTGTCTCTTACAGCGTAACACTCCTACCGGGACGGCCTGTTGCACTGGGCGGGGGAAGCTATTAGAGCCCCCGAAGACACAGCCTGTCTGAACACCCCAACACCCCCAATCACGTAATACTGGATACCAGGCTAGTCACACGAAAAAGTGCTACGCAATATTTAAGGAGTGCATATAATGTGTACCTTTTATTGTATAGATTAGATCTAATGAATTTTTTAAACTGCAGTCTCGACGTCTTAATAGTCCAATGTGCGCATACTTACCTTGCATCCTTGTGGGTCAGCCATTACCAGCTTACATGTAGTTCTGCCTGTGCTAACCTTATAAATGGTTTCTTTCATTGTCAATAAATACAAATACAAATTCACAAGTTAGCCACCCAAAAGAATACGTCATCTGTACCTACAATGTATAAGTAATGGTTGCTCTGTTTTGCACTTCCCAGTTGGTAATGTATGTTTCTTTGGGGACTGTTCGTACTACTGCAACACGGAGCACATGATCTGTGCCACACGGGACCACCACATGCTGGAGGGCTCCTTAGCCGCGTACCTCCCCCGCTGGCAGGAGGCACCCAGGAAAACATGGAAACATCCATGGAAGAGATCCTACTCCAGGGTCAAGAAGGCAGAGTAAGTAGTACATGTACATTTCCTCCCTCTTGAGTGTTTTAGATACTGATCTCTTCTGTTATGTGTGCTTAACTTAAAGGTAGTCAACAATAAGGAGTTTAAACTTCTGAAGAATTTGAACTTCTGCCATGAAAGATCATCTGTGTTGGCAGTTACAAAATTAATTTAATGTACATGACAGTCAAAAATTTTGATTGAACACAAAGAGTTATTCTCACCTAGAGCTTTTTACCAGTCACTCTGGTCTTCTTCAATTCACTGACCCAGTGAGGCTTGTCACGTGGCTTCCTTGAAGTGTGACATCAACACTGGGTCTAAGGTATTTGAGGAAGACCATAGTGACTGCATGGTCAAAAGGTCAAGGGGAGAACATTTACCTTATGTGTTGGAACAAAAGTTTTACCCTTATACTAATTGTAACTACCAAACAATGTTGGCCCCTATCTCAGTTAAGTGAGACAGGGGCCTGATGTAAATAGCCTCTTTCACTCCTCTCGGGAAGTAGAGTTTTGTTCAGTGTCAAGTATTCTTCCACAGATGGGAGGTGGTGGACGGGGAAGCGTTTTGTAGAGAGGTCCGAAACACTCCACCGTACGACACGGGGCGCAAGTTTGGGGACCTCCTAGACCTGGCTGTGTACGACTTCCTCATGGGTATGGTCACAGATTTCAAATCCCTTCTTATAATTTCTATTTTAGACAGATTGACATTTACTGGTATGCTATTATGTACTACTTGTACCTAGTTTAATTGCATTGCATATAGTTTTCATGAATTTCTTGGTTCATTCATATTATTGAGAATGTCTTGCTGATTCTGCATTTCAATAAGGCAACAGTGGTACATCTAGCAGGAAATATGATAACATTTTCTGGCACCTTTTTGGGACGTTTGACCAAACTTCCAGTAAGTGTCACCAATGTGGCTACATGTACGCATTAGGACATAACTTCACCAAGGATGGGCAAAAGGCCAAACTGTGTATACATGTAAGTATGGAAACATTAGCAAACATTAACAATCTGGCAAACACTGAAAACAAAACTTCGTAATCCATACACAGAAGTACAGTAACTGAAATTAATGATGGTCATTCCTTTTGTAGGTAACATGGACAGACATCACTACGAGACATTCAAAGCATTCGGCAATAATTCGGCACCCCTTCACTTGGACCAAGGAAGAGCGTGAGTTGATTTTTTTTTTCAGTACTAGTAGTTAACATCTTTTTTGACTTACATCTTTTTTGACTTACATCTTTTTTGACTGTTGATTCAGCAGCTAAATGAAACTGGATTTTTAAAGTCAATTTTCAGGTCATTCTTGTAATGTAGCAATCAAGTTAAATTGATCCTATCCCATACTATGATCGCAAACTGTGAGGTCTTGTCACTGATGGAAAATGGTTGCTCATAGGCTATTCATGGGTGGGACCCAAAAACTAGAGATGGCTATAGACGTACATGTAGCTTGTTTTGGGGCTATTTCAAGCACTTGAAGTATGAAATTTATGGAAATGTGTATTATATTGCCGTCCTGAAGTTGCATTGGATGCCTTTAACTATTTGTACAAGCCTGTACATGGTTTGAAGTGGGCGAGGTAGAAGTTGAAGGCCCATTTCTTGTAAACTGTTATTGTTTGGACCATGCTTGATACCATGTCCAGATGTGTCCTTTCTTCTGTATATGCACATCTGCACCCTGGCACATTTCTAAAGGTTGAACACTTCTTTTTTTTCCTTTTCCCACAGATTTGGCCGCACCACACATGACGAATTGTCTATTCTAGTACCTATTTCCAGCTGTTGTAGGTAGGTGGATAGAATTGAACCAAACTTTTGGATAATTGCATACTACATAGTTTTGTTTTCTGTCTTTGATCCTTTGGAATTTGTAGTTTAGAAAGGTATTATACTATACTATACTATGTAATATATATTATTATGTATGCCTACTAACACTTGTTATATACTGGTATTCCATGGCTAATTTAGTTCGCATATGGAAACAAGTGCCTTCAATCAAGATTTCTGATCATTTATCTGAGGACAAGTGAAAATTACAAGTCTCTATGTAATATGCTGTTTCTTTTTGCAACTTTTAAAATTGGATAATTTTCTTCTTCTTTCTCAGCATACGTAAATCCACGTGGGCTCGGCTCCAGCTCTTGGCTCGCGAGGAGTACCGCCTTAGCGACGTGATGCGAGAATCGATGCAGTCTGACCCCATCGCTCCCATCCTCACTGAGCCACACCTTCTCGCTTTGGACCGACGCCTTCGCATCATCCTAAACACCGTCGACGAGTGCATCACGAAAAAAGGAGCCGAAAACGTCCTTTTAGAAGATCAAGAACACATAGAAAACATCTTGATACCTAAACCTGCACAATGATTATTATTATTAAATTATTAATCATAATTATGTTTCGCAAATAATTTCATCAGGTTGGTAAACGAATGAATAGCAAAGCTCTTTGATCACCACCATTAATTTTTACGATCCGATGTTTCGATGACCGTCTGTCATCTTCATCAGGGCAAATGCATTGTTGACAGTAAAAACTGGCTTAAGTGCACTGTGAACCAAGTAACAGTGCACAGGTTGTGAACCATGTAACACCTTTAATGCACTATGCACCAAGTAACATCTAGCGTCAGTGTACAGCAAACCAGTCAGAATTGCCCTGATGAAGATGACAGACGTACACCAAAACGTCGGCTCGTAAAAATAAATGGTTGTGATCAAAGAACTTTGCTATTCATAATTATGTTGTAATTCCATTCATCAAGTTGGAAAAGGCTTCCAGATCGTCCTGAGCTGTAAATTTGAGGTTCTATTTAACAGTTGATTAGTCTTAATGAGATTTAGGTAGCATTCGTCTTTTAAAAATCTGTACAGAGATCTTTGTTCAAAGAGTTTATCAGATATACATACTAAATGAGACAGAAGATATTTATATTGATATATTGGGTGATTGTTGCAAACGATATTGCATTTTAGATTGTACTTTTTAATGACTTTATTGCTATGAATCATGCCAGAAGAGGGAGTAGGTTAAATTTGTTGATCGCAACAGTCGTAAAAAAAAAGATATTTGAATTGGCAATTCTTAAAAAAACAGAGATATCACTTTGAATAATGTTTAAATTTGATAGCATCTGATAGCATTGTGCTGACTAGATGGTGGTGGTGTAAAGAAGTTTGTGGATGAACTATATTCTAATAGACACGTGAACAGCAATAGCAGGCCCTCAAAATGCAGGAAATGGCATTTAAGAGGGCTAAGATTTTTTTTAAACAGTGAGCGTGCAAGATCGGTCATCAATTGGCCCCCCAAATGAGATTTTCTGCCATAGAATCTGAATCAGATGTACTTAAATATTATCTTAGATGTTTATACTTTTGTCATTCCTATCCAGGCAGGATTTACATGATTTCTTTTGTATTTTGATGAGATTTAATCAATGTCCATTTGAGATTCAATATTCAATCCCAGGGTCACAATGTGGGGAGCAGGGTTCAAAATACCCACTCTCGCTGTGCAAGTCACGCTTTCTGTGCAAGACTGGCATGCAAATTAGCATCTTTTTTTCTTAATAAAAAAACTACCTTTTAAAAATTTACAGCAGCCTGGCTTACGGTGCAATAGCTCAATTGGTAGAGTGCACGCTTTGTAACCAGAAGGTTGTGAGTTCAAACCCCGGCCGGGTCATACCAAAGACTTTAAAAATGGTACACACTTCTTTCTCTGCTTAGAAAGAGTGTGGGAAGGTCAAACACACAGCACTACCAGTGGACTAGCCCCCTGCTGTAGTCCACTGCACAACTGCTATACAGAAATGGATATGGGCACCACCCTACGCTCTGCATAAGAGCACGGGAGACCTTTCCGTTCCTTCCTTTCCTGGCTTACGAATGTGTCCTGCCCTGGGCAGCATGTGAGCGATTTCTTAACAGGTGGCCTTTGCTTACAGCTTGTCTTCTAAAATAAACAGCCCATGTTGACAGCAACCTGAAACTGGCAACATGCAAAAGTCTTTTGAATCCTGTAGGATATCGATGTACAGTAAGTTTTTACATTGTAGTGATAATAAAGACCCCTGCATATGAGTTGCAATTCCAACGGTGCCAAGTACATGACATTGAATGTACAATTTTGTACATGTATATATTATGAATCAGTCATTCGTAAAAAAAATTATGAAGGTGATTTTAGTGTGTATAGTCATCTGGCAGACAGTGAAGTAACAGTTATGAAGTTGAGCCTTTTGGTAATTGTACGTCTAAAAATTGGAATTCATTCCCCCATTTATATCTGCCTATAATGACATGGTGCTTTAGTGTGTACTTATTTCTTCAAAATATTGAAAATTTGAAGCCTACTAAAAAGTTTAAGGGCTGTTCAGTTGTTCTTTCTTTCAACACACATTCGACTTTAAGTCTAGTGTGATACTACAAACTTGATGACGAAAATCATTTTATTGATGCTATCAAGAAATATTTACATGTTTGTGAATTGTGATATTTGAAAAGGTACAAACTGTAGCTGTCCAAGAGCTTAATTCATGATGACTGCCCCCCTCCCCATCTACCGTTTAGAGAGAAAAAACTGGCTGAACATTGAAGGCAAGTTTGTCATTTTTTAACGCAATATTTTCACTTAATGTATGACTGTACCATATTTCAGGACTAACATTGTTATAATGTAAAGGACCAAGACCTACTGCCTACAGTTGGGTATACATGTATATCTATTACATTTCCAGATATAGATTTGTTATGGAGTAACATGTACGTCAATGCTGCAGTAGTCATACATGTATAGTTGATTACCAATTATTAGAATGATTTCAATACTGTCTGCAGTGATTTGTATTATTAGCACAAAAGTGCTCACTGAGGGATTCCTATTAGAAGCATACTATACGATGACTGTCATGTAGGTATGACATTGAGTGAAAAACTATCTTATTAAATTTTAGTGATTTGATAATATCAGTAAGTCATTCCAGGTATTTACATACATTTTGGTGACATAGAATGACCAGTAATGTTGCTATGTAATTATATGTTGTATTGAATAAGCCATTGATATAACATACAGTATGTGAAATACATACTAAACTATATTTCTGCCAATCACGTTTCGCATACTTAAGGGAACTACATGACCTTGTATGCCACAATGTATCTGTATAGCCAGTAAAACTGCCCTTCCACATAACATGCCAGTTTTAAGATTTCGTATCTGACCAAGCAATCTCTGTCACTGAGGTACTTTTTCAGAGAATTTATTCTGGTGCTTGATTTGTTTTGTATGACTTCAATGTACAAATGTACATGACCAAGCCTTGCTGTAGCCTCTGTAGCAGGCTTATAGAACTGGGATTTGGTGGTCTTTGGCTGTTTTCTGATTAGCCCAGTTCTAAAATGGGGGTAATTTAACCAGGCCGGCTATGTTGTCTATATGCAATCAGAAAATTGCACATAAAAGCTCCCAAAGACCCAGAAGACTCCCAAACCCCCAGTTTTTGGCATGCTCTGGAGGCTAGCCTTGGTGTGATAATGGACTTACTGGTGGTTTTGAAAATTTTGCTGCAAGTTGCTTCACAGCAGCCATATAGCCAGCTTATAGAGGTGGTAGCTTGGGCAAGTTGACTGTAGTTACGTTGTATGTTTCCTGACATGGAAAGAATTAGAAAGTGACAGAAGAGTACTTCCAGCGTAGAGTTTACTGTATGGGATTACCATTTGCTTTAAAGATGGCATTTCACCAATGGCAACAAAATACAACAGTACAGAAAAGCGAACCGTACATAATTATTGTGACACTGCATACAATTGGAAGTTATTCTAACTTGATCAAGTATAGTTTTAAGGATATGCTGCTGTTTATGTCCAATTTCTGATGACATGCAATATTTGGCATAGGAACGTGTACAATGTATATTGTACAAAATGAGATTGAAAATGGGTGTAATAAAGTGTAATTTTTGCACAAATGCCATTGTGGTACCTGTCATTGTTTTGTACTAGCAGATTATCATACATATTAAAAAGTAATAATATAACTTTGCAGACAAGGCCCATGACCCTATAACTATACATGCATGTAGAGTACACAAATTTAACAATGCATTTTGATTTATAAATTATATACAATTTAAAGAACAGGAGGCATCAATTACGTATATAATTCACAATGCCATGATGGTATGGTTACAAGAAACTTTTTTTTCACCAAAGTCTTAAATGTACAGCTTCAATGAAAGAAATGTGTACATGTTGTTGCACAAAATACTGATAAAACAATTATATCAGGTACGTTTATTAAAAGCAAATACTTTGCACTGCAAACAGGATATGAAATGTTATTGTTGCCAAAAATAGGGCCATCTTAATATTATGGGTGTCAGATATCAATCGGTTGTTTTTTTTTTGGAATGGGAAGAATTATTAAAAATTTTCCTTCAGTTTCAGTGCGAAGTGGCTCACAAACAAGTGCATGGAGTTATACAATTATACCAGCAAGTACTCATAAAATTATGATGATCCCTAAACAAATTCCAGTTCATTCAACAGAACCATGCATGGACAACCGACTGGTAATTTGACTTTCCTTGTTCTGCCTGGTAGCCTCTCCGTCCGACCCCGTGCCTGATACATGTACATGTACAAATGTATATCTGCCTGGGAGCTTACAACCTGTCCTGGCAAGTACAATAAGAGTCAGTAATCATAATTATGATAAAATCTAAACAAATTCCAGCTCATTCAACAGAACCATGGACAACCGACTGTTAATCCGACGTTCCTTGTTCTGCCCGGTTGCACCCGCCTCTCTGTCCGGCCCCGCGCCGGGTACATCCGCCCTCGAGCTCACCACCTGTCCAGGCAAGTCCCCCAAACTTTCCACCGACTCAGACACCAGCTTGTGGTAGTTCATGTTGAGTTCTAAGAAGCTTGTTTGGGAGAATGGCGTCTCGGTGCCAGGCCTGTACTCAGCCGGTCCAGGCAGGGATGTTGTCTCCCCCTCCAGGAGGCTGTGGTACCGCCCGAAATAGTCTGGCAGAATGTCTTCACCCTGGGATGTAAAATAGAATCGAATTCGTCAGGGAAGAAACTCCAATGCTATTGGGTAGAGATCCTGTCAGTAGTCTTTGTCAGTAGAGATTTGCTGGCATCATTGGTACAATCTGTGATTCATGTTCAGAATGATACATGACTAGTACAGCATTGAAAGATATTTAGGGTCTATGGCAAAAATGATACCTGTAGCTACTACATGTAGTAATGTGATGGAATGTTTAACTTTTAGGATATGCTGGGCAAAGCAAAGTTATAGACCTTATCCTCTCTGCCTTGATCAGAGTCTCTACCCTGACATACATGTATTCATCATGAATAACTCTTGTTATATACAATGTACATTATACAAAAGAGTAAGAGTCCTTCACAGTGTGAGTGGATCAAGACTTACAATCCAGTCTTATAACATGCAGCTGGTACTTACTGTACAAAACTGGTGTGTATAGACAAAAGACAATGAAGAAACCTACAGAGAAGTATTTTGCAGTGTGGTACTCCAGGTCATCGATGGCATACTCCCGTTGAGCCTCCGGAGTGATGTACAAACGGTACACCGACGAGACAAACTGGTCAATACGCTCAGGAAACGTCACCTGGATAGAGATATAGCATCAAAAGTGACACATTGAACGTCAAAATTGCACAATGTGTCTCACTATAAATGTGATAATAAAGATACAATGTATGTTGCAACACATTGTGCACATGTAACATTGACATGTCATCTGGGTAGAGACATAGCGTCAAAAGTGATAACATTTTGTACATTGTATCTCAATGTGATAATAAAGATACAAAATGTATATTGTAACACATTGTGCACATGTAACATTGACATGTTACATGTGCACCTCCTAGCAATTCTGAACAGAACTGCAGATAGATGACACAGTACTAGTATCTCACATGTATTCCAGTACATACATGAAGATACGGGTAACACGAAATGCATTTGTCATTAATTAAAAAAAGAAACAATGCACTTGTTGTCTTAATTGCTATTATGGCAATCATACAAGTGACTGCTTAGTCCTATCATTTGATATCTATTGATACAATACATATTTAAGTAAAACACGTGTGGTACCTCAATTTGTTTAGCAGCCACATACAAGTAGGAGTCCTTCCTTGCTCGCGGCCCCCTGGCATTTTTGTTCAGAACTGCATTATTTGGGTCTGTAGGTAGAGCTGGTGATAGTGGCTCCGCTAATCCAAACATCTTCTTAGCACGCTGAGAGGAAATTTTAGTGAAATTCACATCATGTCAAAATTTACTGTAAGTTTTTTTCATTTGTTGGGACAGCTATTTTGAAAAATGCAAGATAAAATTCATAATTCATCGCAGTTACATGTATAGGATCAAAACTTTGGCTTGTACAATGATGATACTATAATTTTTGTTATGCAATGGATACTTACCCCCAACATGAAGTCCAATATTTCATACTCATTTGACTGCTTGTCATTGTCTCTCTTAACTTCCTCAAAGGATGTCGTCAGCACTCCTAGAGATCGACGTACAAAAAGTCACAAAATCAGTGATATGCCTGCCATATCCCTACATGACACAGCACTTCTGTCCCACTACATATGGGAAAATTACTGCACTTTTTTACACACATCTGTCCGTCATATCACTACAGTTCAATCTGCAATGTACATGTGCTAGCACATTGGCAGAGAATATTGTAATAATCAAATAATCAAAAAATATTATAACAATAATCAAACTTTTCACAGATTTCAGGCTCCACCTTCCATTGCCCTACATGTAGCCACAGTGAGTTATCAACCCACTCCTCCTTCAGCCTTAAAAGGCTATGGGACTACCTTTACAACAAAGGCCGGGATTCAAACTATTAACTTTTTGGTAGAGGTCAGACTTACCTACCCCCACCCCAACCATGCAAACTTGGTCCTTTAATTTTGAAGGAAAGAGAGTATTGAGCTTGCACAAAATCCAGACTTTTCACAGATTTCGGGCTCCACTTTCGAATACATTCCCAGGCCACAGTGAGTCATCAACCCACTACTCCCATGGCCTCAAAAAGGCTGCGGGACTACAATTTTTGTACCTTTACCCTTTATAATTGTACAAGGAGACAACAAAGGCCAGAAGTTAAACTCTTAACTTTTACATTGTACATGTAGGTCGAGGCAGAGTTGTCCCAATCCCCACTGTAACCAATGTAAGAAACAGGAGGAGCCAGTAAAAACCCTTCTGGTCCCGGGCCGGGGTTCGAACTCACGACTTCCCAGGCACCAGAGCTTCATAACCAGATGCTCTAACCACTCCGCTAAAAGGTCTAGACCCATCGGCCGGGTCAGTTGGTAGCGTCTATAAATCCCCCACTGTTACACTACTCCCCCTTTCTTTTTTAAGATTCGTCCTCGAATCTTCCGAATTCGACATCCCTGGAGTGGCACTCTTTGCCAGAACTACCAGGGCCGGTGTGGGAACCACTGTAAGAAACAGGAGGAGGCAGTAAAAACCCCTCTGGTCCCGGGCCGGGGTTCGAACCCACAACCTCTCGAGTCCCAGTCAGACACTCTAACCGCTCGGCCGTAAAGGTCTAGACTGTTACACCAACCATGCACACATGCTTTTCAGATTAAAACTTAGTCAAACTTACCGACAAACACGTTGAGAATGACAAACGCCATGGAGAGCGTAAAGCTCACAAACAGGATCGTCCCCATGAAGGGTTTGACTGCGATGATCTCCTCCACCTCAAAATAACCCATCGTTGTTGCAACCATAGTCTCGACAGCGTGGGCAAAACTTGAGAAGGTCTTGAGGTGGATCCCAAGCACCAGGTACCCCAGTGTGGAAAACGACACCAACAGTATGGCTGGGGAAAGAAGAGCCTTTTATGAGATTTAGCTTGTTTTTTCGTGAAGCTAAAAAAATTATTAAAAATTTGGTTTACAAAACAAATTATACTACACTATACACAGTATATAGTATTACATGTAATTATGTAGTCACTATAATGTTACACTTGAGTCTCAATTTTGGGATTTTTTTTTTCATTTTGCTCTGTCCCCTTTCACAAAATGTTACCACTTTTGACAAATGCTACATTCTTGCTACATGTATCATAATGATTATAAAATTTCATGTAATAGAAAATTTTGGGTAAGAAATTAAAAAATCTCTAATACTAGGAATACTTATAAAAGGACAAAGAATAAACTCAGAGTCATTATTATCAGGACTTTGAAACAAGTCCAAAAACTTAGAGGGAAGGGGTATGTATATTCTAAACTGCAGCATCCATCCGGCTAGCTACAATAACATACATCACAATTCTGAACCCACCTATGATGACAGTAAAGGCGGTGAGTTCATTGGAGCAGTGTCTGATGGTGGAGGACAGGAGGGACATCCTGCGGTTGAATCGCAGCAGGCGGAACAATTTCAAGGTCGCAGCGTAGACCAGACACGAGACCAGATACTCGTACAACTGGTTCCAACCGGTCACATACTGCAGGTTAATGAAGGTCTTGTCTCTCCCATTCGCCCTGAAGTCAAAATATAATTACAAATTATAAATTAAAGATGTTATATAAAAAAAAGTCACAGAATCTGAAAGATGGTCTTCCGTAAAGTTTCTTAAGTATTATACATGTTCTGTAGCTTTTCTCTTTCAATTCCTATAAGACTATCAAAAATTTGTTTAACTTTTCATTTTTCATCAATTAATAGTTTGTAATTATAAACCTGACGAAAGGTAAGTTGCTTGAGTAACTGTTTTTTTGGGCAAATCTTATTACCTTCATCTGAAGTATGTAGTACGTGTTCTCACCTGGCAAAGTCGTTCAGAAGACTATTGGTGACGACCAGCTTGTAGAAATATGCCACGATGGCAGCGATGGAGACAGCAATGATGAACAGTTCCATCCAGTTCCAAATGTCGGCAAAGTACTTAGTACGATCTCTGCACAGCTCCCGCATTTCCCTGAAAAGAAAGTTGATTAATTTTTCATTGCTCAATGTTGTACAATTATTGGTATATTGAGTTTATTGACTTCGTTCACAATTCAGTAAAATCATGTATGGCATGGTACAATCATGTATGGCAACTATGACAAAGTAATCGACATAAATAATTTTTTGCAATAGTCTATTCTAAACATGATCACCACGTAAATGGGGTATTGACATAATGTATGTTAAATGTTTTCTGTCTGTTAGAAAACATTCTCTTTTGTGAAACACTACGGTAACCATAATATATTTGCCTATTAGAAGTATGTAGTACTACATGTTGTAGATATGGAGTTGGGGCAAGACATAATTGGATAGAAAATGTCCAAAACAACACTTCAGAATCTATAAATCTGTGTTCGTTACCTGTACATAAAGTACAGAAGGAATCCGAAGTAGACCACTTGGCAGACCAGCTTCAGTGTGTCCAGGCTCGAGTAGTAGCTGAGGAGCCGAACAGGACTAATCTTGTAGGAGGGCATCATATTTCCCGAGGGAAGGACTTCCAGGAGAAAACGGGTGTAGCTGAACAGGTTCACCTTTGAATGGAAAATTAATTTATTAGATTGTAGCAGAATTGGGTGTAATACAGCTAGCTACTGCCACACTGCATGCCTGGGAAGGTGGTGTAAAGGGCTGTTATACCGGCTACACCGATACAGAATTAAAAAAAAAACTTTTTCAAACATAGATTTCTTTCAATATTAAGTTTTAATACTTAATAAGAATAATACTTCAACACTTCCTCTTGCAACAAATTGAATGTGCATTTGTTCATTTTAAAATCAGCATCATCCTGAACCGTTACGTTGCTGAAGGTTAGGCATCCAGGTAAACAATAATATATGAGAAATGAAACTCTACTGCTGGATGAATTATGCAGATTACTTCCGGAGATCACATAATGAACTGTGTTAAAATTTCAAGCAAAAAGGCAGATCATTCTTCAACATTTTGCAGGAAGAGTCAACAGACTAAACGTAAAAATCTACCTGTGCATTGTAGATGGAGAATTCCACCACCACAGCCCTGGTGTTCCTATCCAGCCACCCTTCTGCCTGTAACTGCTGCATCCTCTGTGCCAGTTCCTGTTTATCTCCATCCAGATGTACGACGTAGCCTCCCCCTGTGTAGATGGCCAGGACACCTGTACAAAATCAACAATTTTGTGGTATAATACAGAACATGCACGTAAATTCATACTAACAGTAAATTCATTTGGTCACACCCCACGAATGTCAAAGAACATACTTATTGAAAAGAGTAGGGTGTGAGAGGTTCAAAAACATACAGGCTTACGGCTGCACCTGGGGTCATATTGAGGTCACTTGCATGGGTTAGTGCCGAATGGCAGCCGCTCCAGACCTTTGCAATTCAGCCCCACCAATTATAAGCTCCTCACAATTCAGCCTTTGGCTGCAAAGAGAGTAGCTGCCCCACCCAATAACCCAACAACCACAGAGAAACTCTATTATAATAGAGATCATTCTGAAGGCCCCGTTTTCCTTACCTTCAAATGGATAGGACTCTATCTCTGAGGAATGTGTGTAGGAATACTCCAGTCTTCCAACATCAACAGTTTGGTTGTAGTTTATATATTCTTCCCAGCCAGGCTTGTAGCTCCCGTAGTCTTCATTGTCCCAGGAATATTCAGTGGTGCAGGGTATCTCCACTAGTGACGTGGTTCTCTCACAGCCACCTGGTGTTATAGGGAGGAGAGAAGAAACAAATGAGACTCAGTGAACAAATGAACAAAGAAAGGAAGGAAGGGAGGACAGAAGGAAAAAAAGAAGGGAAGGAACGAATGAACAACCAATAAGGAAGTCAGGAAAGAAGGGAGGACAGAAGGAAGAAAAGAAGGGAAGGAAGGAAGGTACAATGGAAGGAAGGAAGGAAGGAAGGAAGGAAGGAAGGAAGGAAGGAAGGAAGGAAGGAAGGAAGGAAGGAAATATAAATGGAAACATCATCACAAAAATTTCATTTGAAGCAAAAAATCTTTAGTTTTGGGCTTTTGGCACCAAAATACTACAGCAGGGGTCTTCTTAGTCTGCTCTTACCTTCCTTAACCCTGAGCTGCCTAAGGATGGCATACCCCACCAGCATGGAGAGTTTGTCAGCCACCAGCGGCCCAATGTTGTCTGCAGGCTGGCTGTTGTACCAGTGACCGGGTTGGAGCCCGTCGAGGAGCGGACCTTGAGCCCAGGCCCAGAACTGGTCTGTAGTCTTAATCTGGGGATAACATACATTATACAGTACAGCTCGCGTTAGAATTAACGGGTAACGCATTACTCACGCGTTAGTCACGCGGTACAGACGTGGCATTTACGCGGTACTAACCCGTCACAGTAATGCGTGAGTAACGCATTTCATGCATCCGAGTTCTGCTGAAGCTTCTCGTTACTGCGTGATATCGCGGCATCTTATACCATATAGTGTGTGATTAAGTGCCCCGCCCTGTATATATAATATAGATATATATCTACTTTTTCTAACCTTCAGCCTGTTACTGTTTGTCACTTAATGAGTATTGGTTATGGCATAAGGTTAATCTTGTGAGACCAGGAACATATTTTTAAACCTTCAGCCTGCTAAGGTAAGCTGTTTGGAGCCAAATTTGTATCATTAATGGGATAATGCCACAGGGAAAAGGTTAATCTTCTGAGCCTTAGCCAATAACTCCTATGTGGTCTTATTTCATTTAATTTTCATTGCTGTTAATCTTGAGAGAAAATTTTTTTTTCTTCATTTTTAGCACTTACACTGATTCAGAAAGCCATGTCTGTACATGTGATAAGTGCACAGTTGTGTGGCCCAAGGGCTAAAGAAACAGAGATGGGTGCCGCCCTATACACCATACAGTGTGGGAAGAACTTAAACTTATCAGAGCATGTTAATATGTTACCTGTTCAAAGTTCTTGAGAAACGTTTCTTGCAGAGTTTGGCGCAGCCAGTAGCCGTGTTCGTCCCTGCTGAAGTAACTAATGGCCACAATGATGAACACATACAGCAGGTAAACCACAATCTCCCTGGGGACATGGAGATGTGAGGATAACAGTAAGTATCAAATAGCAAACTTCTTTACAAAAATGTATGTGTAAACACATGTTTAACAAGGGCCAACATTTAGATGACCGTCTTTCATCTCCATCAGGGCATTTATGACTGGTTTATGTGCACCAAAGCTTGGTGTTACTTGCCATGGTTCACTGTGCACTGAAGCAAAGTGTTACTGCATGCATGGTTCACTGTGCGTTACTTTAAATTTGGGATTGCCTTTTTAACACTAACACCTAGCTATATACACTGTACTATGATCCAAAGAACGAAAGAAATGGAATGTAAAACAGTATCAACTGTATCTGTATAACTGGTAACATCCATGTCCATAATATCCCCAGGGTCCATAATATCGCCACCTTGAGAAAAAGTGTGCTTTAAGATATTTTTACTGCAACATACTTTTGGTATGCACTCCTGCACACATCAAATGTACCTACCTAGGGTATGTTGCAGTAAAAATATCTTAAAGCACACTTTTTCTCAAGGTGGCCATATTATGGACCGTGGTGATATTATGGACACAGATGTTACATGTATAACCACCCTTTGGAGTAACAGATCAACCTTTCATGTTTGTACTTGAGTCTATTTTCTACTAGGAGAGTAGAAGTTACCTTATAATACTGTACATCTTGAGTTCCTTGTTCCTGAGTGCTCGCGCAACTTCAAGATCGGCCTCGTCTGGTGGAGCCTGGTCGTCCATTGGACTGCGATCTAGCTCATGAAGAAAATACGTTAACACTTTTTATTGTTTGCCATTGTGCACAATCTATTTGATCATTGATAAATGTAAACACCAGGCACTTGGAGACTTTGTATTCATTTCTGTGTTCCTTTACTAGGGTAGCTCCTTGCTTTTCAGAGGCTTTCTATAATAAGCTAAAAGAAAGTAGAAAATGTTAAGTTAAGTTAAAGCCCTCCTGAACCATCAGCATGGTTGCATATGGCAGCGCACATCTCCGTTTTGTAGCCACACAATTGTGCAATCACTTCTGCCGGGGGCTAGACCAATGGTAGTGGTATGTGTTTAGCTCCCATACTTTCTCAAATGATGAGTGCTAAGCAGAGAAAGCAGTATGTACCATTTTTAAAGTCTCTGGCATGACTCGGCCGGGGATTGAACTCATGACCTACCGAATGCAAGGCAAGCACTCTACCCACTTGGCCATTGCACAGAAAATGACTTTTAAAAATTGTAGATTTAAAAGAAACATTTCTCACCTGTCTTGAGGTGCATAAACTCCTCGTCAGGCTCCAAGTCTGGGTCCATCTCCATCTGTTCTTCATCATCATCAGTATCATCATCATCATCATCGCTCGACTTGATGAACGTGGCCACAAACAAGCCCAGGAGGAAAACCTGACAAACAAGAAATCAGAAATTTTAGACTTCCAGGAAGTGGTATCTGTAAATGTATTGAAATTATTTCAACCATTTTTTATAAGTCGGATAAGCAACAATAGCTGGGAGTCAATACATGTACTTATCTTTCAACAAAGCATGGTACATTTTTCTACAAATATCTGTTAAAACGTGTGGTTTAAACATCATAATACCACATGACAATAAAATTAAGTCAAAACAAAACAGAACAATGCTTTGACAATTGCAATCTACTATAGAAATTGACACGGTTTACAAATATTGAACATTTTTTGCACATAGCTACCAATGCTCTATACATCAATGTTAACTTACAGAACAATACAGTACACAAAAACATGCTGGCAGGTAGACTACATGTATATGTTATTGACTTTCTTCAACTTTGGCTATGATCTAAACAGTGTCTGTAACACTTGCCTTGATTGGTTGAGTCACGAGGACGGAGGAGGAAAAGGACACGACCATGGAGGTGATCCATTTTGTCGCCGTCTCGTTCCCGAACTGGATCCCGTAGAAAATCACAAAAGTCGTGGACGTTCCCACCGCCAGGAAGACAAGGATCCAAGCGACTATGACCCCCCACCACGGGAAGGTGAACTTCTTCTTCTTTTTCTTGCTGTTGTCTTCTTTTGTGGTTTCTTCATTAGACTGAAAAGGTCCCCTGATGCTGTCTGCGGTCTGTGGAGCATCTGAGTGTGTGGTTGGATGAATGGTGTTGGCAAGTTAAAATGATTAAAATTGGGGGGGAGACATTAAGTACTGTTCTCAAAAAAGTAAGGAGAGCCTAAAAAGTCAAAAGAGCCTCCAAATTACCATGAGCATGTGCATATATGGTTAATATGATCTAATCACCAAGCAGATGTTTGAAAGGGCTGAAAATTTGCACCCAACTTGTATTTATAGGGCACAGAGAGGGTCAGTTGAAGAATGTCACAGGAAAGAGCAGTGATTTGGCCTCCTGCAACATCTGCAATAGTTCATAGCTATTCAAAGACTGTGATTTGAAAAAGAAAAGCATTTTAAAGCCCTGAAACCTTTGTTAGAGAACGTTGCCTTGTCGGTGTCCTGTTGCTCCAGAGCTACCCTGATCCGCGATGGTCTCTTCCTCCGCGGGCGAGACTTACGGAACAGCTGAACGATGATCAGGTTTACGGGGAAGGTGATGAGGTTGGACATCAGGCCCACTCCAATCTGACAACAGGCAATCAGAGATTTCAAACTTCCAAGAAGTGGGTATAATTTACATTGTTGAATTATGTGGCGTCTGTGGTGTAGTGGATAGAGCGTCCGACTGTCAAGCAAGAAGACCCAGGTTCAATCCCCAAGGTTGGACCCAAACATGTCCGGACATGCACCCAGACGTTGTGCCCTTGGGAAAGGCACCTAACACGCATTTCCCCCCCCCCTCAGTTAGAGGGTTCCAGGGCCTTACTAGGGTTTGGGTTGGCGTTAGGAAGAGCATCCAGCCGTAAAAATCTTGCTTCAAAAAAAAAAGACTTGTACTTGGTGCAAGCACGTCTAACCCCCGGTTGGGGAAAAATGACGTTAAATTCGGTTAAAAAAAAATTATGTCATAGAATGAACTTATTACACATACAGTTATAGGGAATACTGGGTCAATCAAGTACAACCCAATATCTTCCTTCTCACTTTGGAACCCAAACCTATCATTAATTAGCACCACCTATACAATATTCCCACATCAGAAATAACAACAGTGAATTAAGAAGATACTGTACTTTTTGTGCCATACTATCTTATTTTTATGTCTAGCAACATGATAAAGCTTTGCTGTCTGATGGAAAACATTAACTTCAACACCACCAAACTTTCAGCACCGAGGACAGAGATCTAACAACATTGTAATGCCCTGTAGAAAAATCTTTATCGATTGATAGAACAGAGTAAATGCTGCATATCTAAGAGTAATTTTCATACCTGTTCTGCACTGAGTATCAAAGGTCCTATCCTGATGGCATTAGAGGATGGCTGGTCAGGCAGGATGCCGTACCACATGGCACTCACCAACATGGCACACATCAGCAGGGACAGGCAGGTGGCCAGTCGCTGGGGGGCAGGAAGGAAGCAAAAAGAAACAAACTCAAACCAGTTCAGCTTACTGAAGAGCTTACAGAGAAAACAGACACTATGTACACAGTATTTGTGGAGAAATTTCCCTAGCTCTTTTTGACAAGTATAATGAATCGTAGACCACGCACAGCTTAACATAATGTCCCAAGGACTGTGACCCTTTCCAGCAGTCAGGTTAGCCTGGATTGAGGCTTCACACATCCAAATTCTTGGTTCTTAGGTTCAAACTTGTAAATCTTAAACATCATCATGCAAATAAGATGCATTCAATTTGGTGTTGTTGTTTTTTAATGGGTAATGGATAATGTCTGATTCAAGTTTTTCTCCTAGCTCTCTGTTACCCTGATACTTGATTTGGATACTGTATCTATTTAGTGTGAATACTAGTAAGTTGTGTATAAGCACTATGATGTAACTTTACTACACAAGACCTACCTGAAGCCGAGTGAAGCGGCTGTGAGGAGGCCTGAGGAAGACTGAGAACCAGATGTGCTCATCCTCGATGTCTCTGGTTGTCTTGGAGGTGAAGAGATGTTGGAAGGACAGGGCCTGCTCTCTACCAGCCACAGGCAGCAGGCGGCTCACCTGGGGGTACAGTTTTGTACATGTATATAGTTGGTCAGACATGGATGGGGAGGGGTAGTAGCCTGGGTGTCAGACCTTGTGTGATGCGATACTCTCTTCAGCCAGGAAAGCCACACACCCGATCCTAGAGTTGGCACCCAGGAGCTAATTTATTTCTCGCCCCGGAAGGATACTATTTGATAATTTGAGTTTTTAAGGGTGCCAACTATGGGGGAGAGGCAGTTGACTCATTAGTCAATTATCTTTCTCCAATCTAAATACAGGGTCTGGCACCCAAATGTCCTTGGTCAATGGCATGCATAGCTATATAGTGTCAAGTAGTATACATTGTACCAGCTGTGGAGAGAGAGAAGGAGAGATGTCACTGAAACAGTCGTTACCTTTCCGTCGCCCTTCTCCACGGCCAGCCAACAGTTTCCGATGAACATGAACTTGGCTCCAGACAGGACGTCCTTCACCACGACATGGCGTAGGAACCAGGAGGCACGGTCCCCGCCCCCGCTGTTGTCATGCCACACACGCATGTACATCAGGTTCCCCAGGGGTCTGCAACAGGACAGAAGCGTTTCTGATCATTATCAAATCTTTAGAAATTGTAATCAATTTTGCTTATGACTTAGGCTGTCCAATGGTAAAGGTGATTATCGGTATCTACGTGCATAAAAAATGTTACACTAAATGCAATTGTTCCTACTAGTAGTCATAATCTGAATACCAAGTTTCATTGTCAATGATACGAAACAGCATAAGGAAATTGTCTATATCACCAATACAACAAGTAGAGCCAAAATTTACATAAACTCCTCATCTTAGTAAAGTTATGCATGAGAATTCAGGTTTCCATGATGACTGAAAACTGTCTCTACTACAAACAGTGTTAACCTTGCTGTAGACAGGAGAAAAGAGTCCTTGCCACCCCTGAGCAGAATCCTCCGCTTGGGATCTTCCAGTTGCCGAGCTCCCGTGTCACCCCTCTCTCCGTTTAGTACAACACTAACCTGTAACGTATATATAGAAGTGTGTTTCACTGACTTACATGTACATGTAAGTGTCAATAAGTCAGTCTTGTGGTACCCAAGAATTCAATGTTAAACGGTTAAAAAGTTGTTAGCCATATCACTTTGTGGTTACCAAGTTTATATGGCATTGAATATTAATTTCTTTGTCCTGTGTTATACATAGTTGCATTAACAGCTTCAGCACATTGTGGTCTTAGACTATTGATATTTCATAATTTATTAAGTTGACTACATACATTATTGTTACAGTATTAAACCTATTGAGGCATTTTTTAGACTTTTTTATGCTCTTTAAGTATACATGCATTATGTATTAGCTTACAATTGTTGCAGAATCTGATCAGAAAATTGAACAAAAAGAATGTACCAAGCTTTAAATTTTATTTACATGTACAAGCAATTTTCTTGCAATAATGTAGGCATATAAAAAGCAACAACAGTGCCCACCTTTGACTTTGTCCCAGACCCCTTCCACAGTCCAGTGTACACAAAAATCTCATACAGGTATCTGTCTCCTGGATGGTTGTCTGGCAGTGGAGTAAGACCAAGCTACAAAGAATTTTAATAATTCTATTAAACAAGTTCTATTAAATGTAGCAAGTCCTAACAAGAGAAGATTGTATGATAAGGCTTAGAAGACAAAAAATTTTGTGTTAGACTTTCCAGTTTCCCAACTGACATCTAGAAGATGCAGAGCATCCTACCTACATGTGTACTTACTTACTTGTACTTGAGTAGGTCTCCAAATCTCCCGGCTGCTGATGTTTACCAACTCTATTTTTTAGGAACTGAAATCGGCAAAGCAACATTTTCTTCCTAGGGCTAAATACGACCAGCAAAAACTGTAAAATTGTCCTACCATTTCCACGTCTTTTTTATCCATTCTTCGTGCCCAGATCGCAGCAATGGCAAATACGACATATATGGTGATAACGGTGACGTAAGTGGTCACGTTGTCCAGGAACGATGCGTTGGCAAACACGTAGCTGAAGTCGATGGGGTTTGGCGGGACGAACAGGTCACTGGCAAAGGAAGTCAGATGGTTACACAGGCACTGGGTGTGGGTACTGTTGGAGCCATCTCCCACCTGGGTTTATGAAAAGGGAAAAGGTATAATTTATACATTCATTAAAGCTGCATTAAGTAACATTAGGATGATACAAAAAGTCAATTTTCTGGTAATTATTTTATAAAAGGTACCAAAATATGTCATCTTGTGGGTGCGTTTAAAAGTTGGAAAGTTTAACATAGCTGTCAGCCATGTTTGTTTACATTCTAGTAAGTACTTTGTGGTACGTGGCCTCACAAAATGGGCGAGCCTCATATTCAAGTGTCTATAATAAGTACCTTACAGCCTGTAGTATCCCAGTCATTCTGAGTGTCATTCCAGAAGATACACTGTGAGACGTAGAACAGCAGGGAGTAGTTTGAACTGAAAACTGTGTAGTCTGCGGTTGGAGACATTGTGGCAACTCCTTCCTCCTCAATACCAACAAAGACGGTGCCGTTGTGGTCTTCTGGAAGAAGGTCTGGGTCAACGAAGAGTCGATAGAATCCGTTCTCTGAAAAAGGGGAATGCAAAATATTATATTATTATTGGGACTTTTCTGAACGTAGTACATTGCTTGTCTATAGTAGTAATGAATTTCTCTCCATGTTGTTTGTTGTGTTGAGGGAAGGGAGCCAGTGGTACATGTAACTATGAAGGATGGTACCCAGCCTGCCAAAGCTCTACAGAACTCAGGACCTCAGTACAGTGCCAACTCATAAATGCTGCAAAAGGCAAGCATGTGCCGGCTTATAAAAGTCACTATGTACTACTGCAAATTCACAATGACAACTTTGTATTCCTCGTTTAGCAGAATTTTTTAGCTGGAATGTTTTTTTTGCCCACGCCCACTAGTTTTAGGGTCTTCTGAAGATGTCATCCATAAAATTAAATCAGTGTGGCCATAATGATAACACCAACTTACCCTCCGCCATGTCCTCACTATGGTACACGAGATAGGGATTTGTGATGTTGGGTTCTTGGTCGATGGACACGTAGACAGTGTAGACGACTCCGGGCAAATCCGGCGCTATGTCCACATGCAGAGCAGGCTGTGCTGTGCCACTTATGTTGTACTTATGGAGCATCACGGGTCCTGTGGGCGTTGGGTGGACATACTCTAAAGAGAACATAGTAAGGGGCAGTCAACGTTTGGAAGAATTTACCACAGTACATATTTAGGTAGAATTTAGCCATCAGGTATCGAAACAAAGACAATAGACTCCATACCAAACTAAGAAAGATACACTTTAAGACTGCCAGGATGACAGGAGGTCAAAATGCCAGACACAGGAAATGGGGGTGATCTTGAAGGTCACAAAAATCCTAAATACATAACTTAACGGAAGTCTTTTTGTCAAACTTCCCCTACCCGGACCAACTCTCAATTTTGTACAATTTTCTGTGTCTGATCTTGAAATTGACAGGTTCAATTTCTTTGGTTTACAAAGTATGGTAAACTTGATATGTAAAAATGTATAATGCCATTGGCTCTTTTTATGGAAAATAACATTGAATATATTGGAATCAATTAAAGAAATCAGTCCCTCTTTTACATTGAACAAAAGAACAAATTAGGTTTATACGCTAATTACCTGTACTCAAGCCGTCCAAGTTTTTCTGGAAGACGATGGAGATGGGTTCCTGGAGTCCTGACACGTTCAACTTGCCGTCTCCAAGGACGTGCTCCAACATGAAGACGTCTGACTTCAGCTGCCTCTCACCTTCAATGTTCCTGAAGGAGTACGGATTTGTCTTGAAGGTCACAGCCTGTAGAAGAGAAAGGCGGTTTAAAGAGAATTAAACTGTTCTCCAATGCAAAGAAGTTGAATCACCAGACTTTTCAACTGAATCGCTCAGTCTTCGTCAGCTTTCTAACCTGAGTGCTCTAGACACAGTCATGATTTTTTTCCCACGTGTGACGTGAGCACTGGGTCAAAGCTTGTAGTAGGGAAGTCAGTACCGCCCCCCGTCCCGGTTGAGACAAAATCATGTCAATCATGTAGTTTGATCCAAACATCTACCTACTCTTGCTGCAACTGCCTGTGCTGGAGAAGCATTATATATACACACAAACCTACAGAAAAACCCAAAGGAATACAATACCTCAGAGTCTATATCCAGAGGTAAAAATACTTTAAATTTACAGACTTTGAGGAAGGAATGTATCAACACTTACCCTAGTGTCCACCACAGAGTCATTCCCAAGGCCACTGAACAGACTCACTTCCGGTAGAGTGAACTGTGACCCATCTATCTCCGCACTGGTGGCAACAGCGTCTGCCGACGTCCTTTCTACGCTCACAACGAGCGTCTTGGAGGCGAGTTTTGGCACCTGAATCCCCGGAACGATGTTGGTGGTGACCGTGGACATGACCTTGTCCAGGAGACCGAGTACGGCCATGTTTGCAGCTCCATCAGATTCTGCGACTGTGGAATTTGTGCCGTTTGTCTGCTGTGATGAGTCGGTACTCAGTGCTGATGCCTGCAATAATAATTTGTGGCAAATACCAAGATGAGCAAAGAAACAAAAATAATTCTGTAACATCTGACTTGTGGAATTTATATTCAAATACTGTAAATTCAGTAATTTTGGACATCTGATTTGGGGAATTTATATTCAAGTAATGTAAATTCAGTAATTTTTCAAGCATGTAGCAGTTGAGAATCAAGAATTTGTGGTATTTGAGTTCAGGATTTACATGTTACCAATCATTGACTAGAGAAACAATATTTATAGGCATGTTTGCAGGTGTGACAAGTTTGCAGTGAGAGGTCACTTTGAAAACCTGTAAATGTTTGAAAGAATAACTCATACTTACACTGACAGAAATTCTTCAGAAATAAGGCAATAGAATTTGAAAATGATTTATGATTTGATATTTCATGTGTTAGCATATTCCTAATAATATATATACATGTATATATTGTCATACTTGTAGAGTATTTCCACAGCTTTCCAGCAGGTGTCTGCTCACATCTTGTACCAGCTCCTGATCAGTTTCTGTCACAGTTTCACCCAGAAAGTCTGTCATGGACGTCATCTCTGATATTACTATGTCCTGCAGGACACAGACAGAACATAATAACGTGTTATTAAACATGTTGTGAACATGATAGATAGCAGGAAAACTGGCTGAGAAAATATGGTGGTGCTACACTGTACTTCCAGGTGTCGATCTCCGGATTCTCGTCAACCTCTGTCAGATGTATGATTCACTCGCTGACTCTCCAGAAGACTTTGTGAGGGGTTTTCTTCTTTTCTTTATTGCACTAATTCAACTGTACATCAGCAGGGGGAGAATAACTACTACCCCCTGAATTGAGTACCATTTGTCACATAAAAAAAATTGAGAGACAATGCATGGACATCTAAATGGGTGTGAAGGAGGCAGTTTACATCAGGGCCCATCAACCCTCTCTGAACCGTGATGGTGCATGGGAGATTCCGTCTTCCCGCCACTTTGATTCACTCCTGACGTCATCACGCTTCTGACTTCCAGAGAGTCAGAGAGTGGATCATACATCTGATGAAGGTTGAGGAGATCAACTGAAAATTTATGGTGAGTTCATTTCTTGTGTTGGAACAAAGCTTAAACTTAAAGCTGCAACAGCAATATTTTACTTCACCTGGGATTGCCTAGTGACTTCCTGTGGAACTGCAGTTGCCGAGCTGATCACACTGGTCAACTCCTGCAGCTGACCGATGGATGTCATGGGCAGGGATGTCATGGATCGGATCAAATTCTCACGTTGCTGGGAAAAAACAGAGGATTCATAATACTGTAAAACTTGAAATGTTTGCAGTGGACATATTTTCACAGTGACACTGCAAATATATGATTCCAGTGTATTACTAACAGTAAAACAGAATTGTATAAAACTTAAAACACAAAAAAAAACTCCTTTCCCCATGAAAATCCCCCCAATGTTCAAAGAAAATGAATCATTGGGCCAATTATTGTTCATTTACCTGAGTTAGACCTTAATATCAGTCACAAATCTTTAAAAAGTAGTCTTTTGAATAAGGAAAATTCCTGTTAATTAGAATACAGTACTTACCTCTGATTTCCTCTCCTTTTGTATGGATGCTTTCAAAAGTAAACCATAATTAAATCATATTATAATTGTAAGTATTGAAACTGGGCATTAATAATCAAAACCACTCAGATGCAGGACATATTACTGAAAACAACATGTAATAAGTCTTCAAAAGTTTCTGTCTTGTAGCCACCTAAATATCTGCTCTGAGATCTGGCAGCACGTTGGCAAAATGTACTGCACGAAACCCCTTTTTTACCATTTTCGCATGCACGAAAATGGTAACTCAGACGACTTGGCACGTTGGATCGATGCATGGATGGTTCGACGGTTCGACGGTTCCACCCTTCAACGGCCATGCAGACATGCTAAGTCACCGCATGTCGCTAGATGTCGTTGTTGCGACGGCCATGCAGACATGCTGAGTTGCCGCATGTCGCTAGATGTCGTTGTTGCGAGTGCACTTTTTACCATTCATGCCTTGGACGTTTGTATACTTTCCATTATGGTTGCTAATTTCAAAATCATAGTTCTATTAATGTTGCATAACAAAGCTGCTGACAAAACAAACTTAATTTGTCTTGAACAATAACTTGATTTTATTATTTGCCAAAAATGTTGATAAAGACATGTCTATAATCACAGTAATCAAGGATTTTTATAAACTGCATAAATTATGTCAATGAGCATTAGCAGTGTGGATTAGTCTAGATGTTCAGATTTCCATTGGCCGGCAGTCCAGAGGGTCACACGTCCGACCAATCAAGGCGCTGCAGGCAAAGCTTATTAAAAGCCTCCTTTTCAGGCGTTCCCGGATCGGTGTTTTTGTGTGTGTGTGTGGTTGGGGGGGGGGTATTTTCTGACCAAACGTAGATCGCACGCAATAGAAGCTCCGGCCTACATAGCTGTCCGTGGAACTATTGATATTACCTGGGTGCCTAACTTTCACCAACATGTCTTTTGTATTTTAGGAAATTAATTAATTAATGAGTGAGTGTTTAATTAACTTAAATAGGTATTGCATTGTTTGGCAAGGTATTTTCCATTGACAATTTTTAATGGATCAGGTTGATCAGATGATATAATGTAAACAATTATATATGATTAGTAAAAGATGACTTTTGAAGTTCTCTTCGAGTATTATTTTAGGGTTGAATCAGGGTCAACGCGAAAAAAAATCATGATCCGGTGATCGACATCATGCCCCCCCGCACACTTCATGTATTCAGTGTTCTAAATACCCGTCTTCAGTCTGCAATTTGCAGATAGATTTTCAAGATTTCAGGATAAAAATTACACAATCTGCAATTTGAAGAATGAAAAAAAAACTATGGTCCTCACAACTTCATATTCCCTTTGTTTGACCCGCCCGGCGGGTCAAACTTATTTAAATAAGAAATGTGTGGGCCCGCGGCATTTTGAAAAGACGCGACGCGCTTTGGAAAGACCCCGCGCCGTGGCTCATTCAAATTCGCTACATTTTTTGCTAAGTTTAATGTCTTCACCCACGATTTTTGACCGTCAATGTTGACGGTAAGGACTTAAATTTTTACCGTCCGACGGGAAAAAATACCGTCAATTGACGGTAAAACGGGCGCTGGCTAAAGCCCTGGTTGAATGTCACGAGGTTTGTAAACTTAGATGTTGGGGACAAAGCCATAGAAGAGATTTTGAATAAAATTATATATATATATATTAACGTTACTTATAATTTAAGTTAAAATGTACTTTTGTGTCTCATTTTTTTATTCTGTTAAAAAGACTCTTAAAAGAGAGAAAACAGGTTATAAACTGTTATGTACTTGATTTTTGTAATGTTTTAAACTTAAAGAGTTGAAATATAGAAGTGCATGTTCTCTCATTATATACAATGTTGATGAGAACTAGAACCATTTATATAACTTAGGTAAATTGAAATGCTAGGATGGGGAAAATGCTAGAATGCATTGCACTGCGGTACGTTCCACCACCATATACTCCTCAACCATCCACCAGTTCGTAAAAACTGTAAGCCTGTAAGCGGCGAAAATGGTCAGCTTTTGCAGAAGCACTTGTTTCAATGGTTTTCTGTTGGATTTTTGGTCAACATTGCATCAGAATCTTGCAAGTTGCAGACAACATTTTTTCCAACATAACATTTGGAAACTACACCTTATATACATGAATATTAACTTTGTTATATTAGACAGGTGCAGTACGTTCTGCCGACGTACTAGGTCAGACAAACATTAGTTCCTTGGTGCCTTACCTCCTGACAGAGCAGAAGATGAAGCCAGCGCCAGCCCCACAAAATCTTCTATGTTCCCCGTGTTTCCCAGATACTCCAGGGACTGAAGGGATCTCGTCAAGACTTCTTCATTTTCACCAGCCAGTGGGAAAACCTACGATGATAATACACAAGTTCAAATCACAGGCTAATAGTACAGGTCCTGGAGAAATTGTGTCTCTTCTGTCAGCATTTGAATGCATGCTTACATGCTATATGTGAATAGGGACTGAGACTTTTCATACAAAACCAAGTGTTTTATTCAGCCGATGTTTTGGTGAACGTCTGTCACCTTCCTCTGGGCAATTCTGACTGGTTCTCACATTGCACAGTGCACAAGTGTCACTGCTAAAGATCCATTTCAAAAGAATAACATAAAACACATGTATTGCACATATCTACATGGTTAGGAACTACAATGCGGTCGCAAACATACAGGAGCATTGTCAAACAAATCAAAAACTAATATAAAAACTGATTTTGTTAGTGCTTTACGTTTCCATCCATGAATCCTATGGTACAGATTTGTTACAATCTGAATATAAATTTATCCATGATTTCTCCTACCTGTACAGTGCCGACTTCCCAGTGTACATAAGCCCCCAGTGTGTCCCGTACAGTCACGTGCAGCTGCCATTTGTACTGGGAGGCAGCCTGGCCTGCTGGGAGGTTCAGGTCCTTCAGGCCTGTTTTTGTTGCCCCAATGTCCAACTGATTATTCAACTCAGTTGCCAACACTGAGGAATTCTCTCGCACTGTATGAGCATAAGGTACAGTGTGAAATAAAAATCAGACTAATTATATTTGAAGTAGTATAGATAGAGGAAAATGGCTAGTTTATGTGAGGAGATGCCCAAAAGCTATTAATAGTTTTAACTAACTACCCCCGGTACATTATAGTGGTTACATTCAGAAAATATCAATTTGGGCAGATGAAAACTTGTGATATTGTTGTAGAGAAAAAACAGAGAATATAAAGAGTACCATCTGCATGGGAAGATATTTGGTTACAAATTTCACAAGAAAAAAGGAAGAGTTAGGACACAGGAAACACAGTCATGAGTTGTAACTATGCTATATTTTTCTTTCTCCCAATAGGAAAGGAAAATGGTACTTGTTGTTAACCAATTTCCTTCCATTATTCGAACTCACCATGAATCTGGTAGCTGGCTATTCCGTCCTCGTCGTACCAGCCTGTACAGTTGAGTGTGAAAATGTCCTGCAGAGTCGTACCTACTTCAGGTGACACTTCACACGTACCTAATGAATGAAAAAAAATCTAAAATTACCTGTACCACACTTTCAGGCATATACAAGAATGAGACAGTGTGTTGGGGGGCTTGGTAACAATTTATTAGGTGTGAGAGCAAAGACTGATTCATCCATGGGAGGGTGGCTTGTGCAGCTTGGGATTGGAACCCAGAACCTAGGATTCTTTAACTCAACATCCCAAATTGCAAGACCAACTTGTCAGTATCAAACGCTAACCACCTATCGTGGGGTTGTGCGGCAGAGTGCTCGACTTGGATCCAAGAGGTCCCGGGTTCGAGTCCTGACATGCCACCGATCTTGTGCTCTTGGGAAAGGCACTTTACATGACTTTCCTCACTTCGCTCAGGTGAAAATGAGTATTGTATTGTCTCGTGTTGGTGGCGGCATAAATATATGTTGAAAAAAAACTTGTTTTCCGTCACCACGTCTTGTGATTACATGTTGGAATATGATTAAAAAAATAAATAACCTGGAGTAGGCGGTGTGTTGATCTGAAAGTACATGGTACTCTCCCCTATGAGGTTGGGCGTTGGTATATTCCAGCTCTGAAGTTCGATGACATATGTCGTGTTGGTCCGGTTTGTTTCCAGTGCTGATGGCTCAACCACAAAGATGCCTCCTCTGGTAGCTTTGTGAAAAAAAGTCATCCATTGTTAGATTTCGTAACAAAAGAACTTTTAAGCCATGTAACCAAGCTGGTTGGTGGTATAAAAAAAGCATAACTTCATACAAGGTAAAATTTGGCAACATTCCTTAACTGGGCGTAGAAAGTTTATTTATACATGACAGTGTATATAATGACAATTTACAGTCCTGCTAATTAATAACATAAAACAGCATTCTTTCACAAGGTTCAGCATTTTCCACCAATCTGTTACGTACCCTCCAAGTAGAGGTTGTTTTCTTGACATTTTGTCTCAGTCTGTAACATTATATTTTGTTGGCTTTCCAGTATTAGGCCGACAAAACAGCAAGCCTGACAGATCTTCCAAAAAAAAAGCATCCAAAAAGAGGCCTAACCTATGCTTGCAGAGTGGAATGTGTCCTACTTATCATAAATAACATGTTGAACTATCATGGCAGTTCATCTGTGTTGGTAGTTACATATTTAAGGTTAAAACTATTGGTTCAACAAAAAATTCTCTCACCTAGAGCTTTCGACCAGTCACTCTCAGACTGGTCTTCCTCAGTAGACTGACCCACTTCAAAGAAGCCACGTGACAAGCGTCACTGGGTCAGTCTACTGAGGAAGACCAGAGTGACTAGTCGAAAGCTAGATAGGTGAGAGAATTCCTTGTGTTGGACCAAAAATTTTAACTTCAAACAAACATGAGTGTTGAACTTTATTTTGTCCTACATGTACTTACCATATATAACACCAGGCACGTTTGGTACTTCTGCATACACCCCCGGTGAGTCCTCCTGTTTCAGTGTCCACCTGTACCTCATGGACCCCCCACAGCCCAGCTCACAGCTGGCCTTGATGACCAGCCGGGTTGAAGGGTTGATTTTTTGTCCAGAGGGCTGCTGGATACACTGAGACTTCTGGACACAACTGAAACAGAAGTAAAAGGGTTAAAGAAACTAGAAATGTGATGTTTGAAAAATCAGAGTACATGGATAAATGCAGACCTCGGCTTCCTGAATTTCCTCCTGTCAATGTCTAATTCCTGCTGGCTCCTTAACCAGATTCTGAGATCTTAAATCTCACACTGCCTGTCAATCTTGCCCACCCACAGGCTGTCAACCTACTCTGGCTGGTAAAGACATACACAAACCCAAAACAGAGCCACCCAAAACAATACTTCTGTACCTGAAAGTAAGATTATGTAGCTCTTGCATGGGCTGTAGTGACTGTGAATTTTGTTTCATCGTTGTGTAAAGTGGCTTTCCTAAGGACACAACATCAAGCCAGGGATCGAACCCACAACCTCTCGGTCTCGTGTCTGCTTACCACTCACCAAAGTGTCAACTCAATTAAAACTGACCCTACCTGATGCTCATCACCGGACCTGCCCTACACTAGCCTAATCTAGCCTATCCTAGCCTAGCCTACCCTACCCTACCCTTGCCTAGCCTAGCCTACCCTACCCTACCCTACCCTACCCTTGCCTAGCCTAGCCTAGCCTAGCCTAGCCTAGCCATTCAGCCCATTCACAGTACATAAAACCATACCTGATGCTCATGACCGGGCCTGCCCTGTCCCTCACAATGACCTGCAGCTTGGCGAAGTCCAGCCGTGAGCCCTTCCAGGTGACCACAGCGAACAACAGAGGTTCCTCCTTCACCAACATGGAGCCGGCAACCCTGAGTCTCCCCTGATCCAAACTGGGCAGTCTTCCGTGTTTCGTGCCTCTGGTGTTCACTGTGGTCACCTGGAAGGGCTCACGGTTGGACTTTGCCAAGTTCCAAGATTGTTTGCTCACACCTCTCAATCTCATGTCTGCTAGCCACTCACAAATGTTGTTAGCTCAATTGAAACTGACCCTACCCTACCCTAGCCTACCCTGGCCTAGCCTACCCTACACTAACCTACCCTAGCCTACCCTACACTAACCTACCCTAGCCTAGCCTACCCTACACTAACCTAGCCTAGCCTACCCTAGCCTACCCTAACCTACCCTACACTAACCTACCCTAGCCTAGCCTACCCTACACTAACCTACCCTAGCCTTGCCTAGTCTACCCTACCTTACCCTACCCTAGCCTAGCCTACCCTACCTTACCCTACCCTAGCCATTCAACCATTTCACAGTACATAAAACCATAGCTCATCACCGGGCCTGCCCTGTCCCTCACGATGACCTGCAGCTTGGCGAAGTCCAGCCGTGATCCCTTCCAGGTGACCACAGCAAACACCAGAGGTTCATCCCTCACCAACATGGACCCGGCAATCCTGAACCTCCCCTCATCCAAACTGGGCAGTTTTCCGTGTTCCGTGCCTCTGGTGTTCGCTGTGGTCAGGGCTGGAAGGGCTCACAGCTGGACTTCGCCAAGCGCCTAAAGATTGTTTGCTCACACCTCTCAATCTCATGTCTGCTAGCCACTCACAAATGTTGTTAGCTCAATTGAAACTGACCCTACCCTACCCTAGCCTACCCTGGCCTAGCCTAGCCTACCCTACCCTAGCCATTCAGTCATTCCACTTTACATACCTGATGCTCATCACTGGGCCTGCCCTGTCCCTCACGATGACCTGCAGCTTGGCGAAGTCCAGCCGTGAGCCCTTCCAGGTGACCACAGCAAACACCAGAGGTTCCTCCCTCACTAGCATGGACCCGGCAACCCTGAGCCTCCCCTGATCCAAACTGGGCAGTCTTCCGTGTGCCGTAGCATTGGAGTTGAAGCAACCACTGCCGAGTAGGTCAAACGGGTCCGATAGAGTCGGGATAAAGGACCGAGTTTGTGACAGATCATGAAGGGACAACAGAACAGGTATGATTGAGGACAAGTTCACTGGTATTCCTGTGGGGAGTGTGAGCAAGACAAAAATCAGGTTTGCTGACTGATTTATTCTGTCATTGTTGCATTCAGTTAGCCTGGGTGCCATCTGATTTGTAACGGCTACCCCCAAAAAATCTGTTTTTCGGGGTAGCCGTTACAAATTGGGTGGCACCCAGGCTAGCATTCAGTAGCTTTACATGTATTTAGACATTAATGAAACAATAGCATAAAGTCTTTCACTAAAGATACACAACTGGAATAAATGTAAAATTGAAAATTTAAACATGGAAAATGCAGAATCTGTGAGGTGATAAAAGTTCACAATACTCACAATTGACATTTCTAGAAATGCAGTTTACCTTTGTCTTCTTGAAGCACAAAGTTCTTCAGTAGGTTGATAACAGCCGTTGGTGGGAAGCGAGACTGTAGTACTGTTTGTAATGGCTTACAGAACCAGGTGAATGTAGTGAAGCTCTGAGGGGGCAAAAATGCATCAGCGATTATCTAGAGGTTATTGTCCTTCCTTGAGGTGTTAATGGTCACACAAGGCCTGCTTGGCTATGATGAAAATTAAACCACTGACTGAGCAAAGGGATACTTATAAGGCAGTTATTGGAACCACCCAGGCATTATATCACCACAGAGCATTACCAAATTGTGAAAAATTAACATCAGTTACATATAGCCTATTCAAATTTTACTGGCTACTCTTCTTGTAAATGTTTTTTGTGATCCAAAGCAGAATAAAATCCTTTTGAAAACTGCAATGTAATAGTGCTGTGTACCGTTTACTGGACCGGTTCCAGACTTGTAAAAATGTTTAGGTTCAAGTCCAAAAAAAAAAAAAAAATGAGTCCGGAACTGAACCTAAACCTCTGGACTTGAATCTGGACCTGAACCTAAATGTGGGTTTAGGTACACAGCACTAATGATATATTACAACAAATAATGCAGTTATCAGAAACAGTGCTAAGAGACTTATACAATCACCTTAGAAGCACCAGACTCATCAAGGTCCAATGAGAGCACGCTCGGGTTGAGGTCCAGAGACTGTTCAGCAGATATCACAACTCTGGAGGTTCCTCCAGGGAAGAGCAGGGCTTTTAATGGGGCAGAGGTGACGACGATGTAGGTAAAAACACAGGACCTGTAGATCCGGTCTGTCACTGAGGGGTTCAACTGTGAAAAGAAAAGAGTTTTCAGTCTTCAGAAGATGTTATAAGGTAGATACTACTTAAATATGGGGAACAGACCTGTCCTTGGTGCTGAAAGCCATTAAAACATGTGTAATAGACCTGTCCTTGGTTTTGAAAACTGTTAAAACGAGGACTGTCTGAAAAACAGGTTGCTGAAATCTCTCAAAATATGGAGACAGACCTGTCCTTGGTGCTGAAAGTTTTTTTACACATAGGGAACAGACTTGTCCTTTGCACTGAAGGTTGTTAAAACATGGGGAATAGACGTATTGTACTGACAGTCCTGTCAGTGGTGTTGTTTACATATGGGGAACAGACCTGTCCTTGGTGCTGAATATTTTTATACATCGGGATCAAACTTCTCCCTTGTGCTATTTACACATGTGATACTTTAGAGTCTAGTTTCCTTACCTCCACACACATTGTCACCCTGTGCAAGTCTGGGTTGAGGTAATTTGCAGGTATGAGAAGTTCAGCTGTATGAGAAGATGGGAAGCCGGACAAGTCTACAACCTGGACTACTTCACCTATAAAATATAACAAATACCAATCATTATATTAACTGTCATGGGGTGTTTTAATAATTAGAATTTACATACTAGGCATTGTCCATAATGTAAAATATGTATGAGCCAAGTTTGTTCTGGGGTCTAGTTAATTCAGTTAGTCCACAGGTCAGATTTTACTGCCATTTGCCCATACTATTGTGATACCTTCCATTATCTTTATTTTTCTTTATTCTTTATTTCAGGCGCAAATTGGCCCATAGTAGACAAACAATTAAAATAACAAGGTGCACACATAGTAAAAACGGTAGGGTTCGGTACATATACATACGGGAAAGGCCTTACCGGTAGACTAGGCCGATATAGTGATCCCAGTAGTGACTGGTGGATGATAAGTCTGAGTGGATTGCGAGTTTTATGATACTGTTATTACTGTTGAGGAGCCGATTGGTGAAAGAGTGTGTTAGTTTACGTCTGTGAGCATCGAAGGTATCGACAACCTTATGATGTTTTGTCCTTTTTTTAATTGATACCATTTGTATTAAAACTGATACTGATCAGACTGATTCAGCAATTCATGTATCTATCCATTCTATTTCACAGTTGCTACACAAGAAACATTTGCTATGAAACAAGTTCAACTTTAATTGCCAACACAAGAAATTGGACTTACCCAAATTTTCGAGTCAAAAATTTGGGTACCGGTAAGTCCAATTTGTTGTGTTGACAATTGCAATTGCAAACTCGTTTCATAATGACTTCTACCGACACTTCCTTGTATTTCACAAGAAAATACATAAACTTCCTTGTATTTCACAAGAATAACTGATGATGAACAACTGACCCGTTGAAGGACTTTCCTGAACTGCAGACCAGTTCATAGAATTTTTTGAGGTGGCGTAGCACTTAATCTCCAGGTCTGCCGTGATCACAATGGCCTTGTTCCTCACAAAAGACCTGTGGAACAAGAAATCAAAGAATATTCCGGGAAATATGTTTGGTTTTGCTGAAATTCAAATTTATAGACCTCTGGAATGTGTTTTTGTGAATGTATTTGAACTGTACAGAGGATATATGGTGTAATTGAATTGAGTAATGTAATTAAAAACAACAAGCATTTGATCAGCCCTCTGATCTTTCTCAACTTGACCCAAAGCTTTTTGTGTGACCAGAATAAAAGTGTGACATAAGGACTGATCCAAAGCTTGTTTGTAAGCGCTTGACTTTCACTACAGAATTAGCATTAAAATATTGAAACCTAAGTATAAAGCCCGTTAGGTTGGTATTGGCAACTGTTACACCCAACAGTGTTATCAGGTGGAATGGAGAAAGAAATTATGATAACTGCACCTTGGATTTTCTCTGTCAGTGGAACCACCTCTGATTCGTATGACTGGATTATTGCAGACATCTGGCAGAACTGAAACACAAAATTTTCTGAGATGATTAACAACACAAGTAGCTTAACCCTTATAAAAACACTCCTGTAAAGCTGTAACATTACTTGTAGTAGAGGGTCTGCATGCATTTTCCTTATTCATTTTTGCCAAAAGTCACCAAGAACAAAAATTCCAGTTCTGCTGGTGTTCACACACTATCATTGCCAGACTCCGTATGCATGTACAGGCCTGTTTTTTTTTCGTGAAGCATTACCAGTCCTCCTGAATTTACTGTTAAGCACTGCCGGGGGTCCCCCCATGTATACCCTCATGATACAGTACCTTCAAAGGTCTGTGACTCCTGGACATCAGACACCAGGTTCCAGGCCCGCACACTGATGGTTTGCTCTCCGTAGATCCAGTACGTGTGATTCACCTGCAGCAACTAAAACAAACAAAACAACAACTTAACAATTAGATTTTCAGTACAATGAAAATAGCACTCAAGAAAACAGGATGCATGAATAGTTTTATAATAATCTATATAATGCTATGATATTGGAGTGACATGCATGCACAATGTTTGGTTTGAAGAAGCCAAGTGACAAGCCTCACTGGGTCAGTCTACTGACAGAGGAAGACCAGAGTGTCTGGTCGAAAGCTCTAGGTGAGAGAATTTTTTTGTGTTGGACCAAAAGTTTTAACTTTAAACATGTTACTACCAACACAGATGAAGTTTCATGATAGTATAATGTTTGATTTGGTTTATTCATATCTGCATTAGTGACATAATCACAAGTCTTCCTGTAGTCCACTAAAATAATACAAAATATAACAATGGAATATACAGAAAATTATGCAATGTATAGAAAGAAAGTATTTCACATACACACAAAGCAAAAACAAAGTCATACAACTACAGTATCAAATGATTAGTAATACAAAAAGGCCACCGACCTTGCTGACATTTCCAATGAAGCGGTCACCAATGTTCATACAAGTTGGTGAACCGTACATCAAAACTGGGAAAAACTCTTCCATGTTCACAGAAAGGCAAGGGTTGGTTCCCAGCTGGTCTATGTGTATTTCAAAATACTTCACAAATCCAGCATAACTCCTGAAAAACATGAAAGAGCCTGTCACTTTTCAAAGAAAAAATGTGAAAATTTAATCTTCATCAATACATTTTGATTTAATAAGAAAGAATAATTATCATATAAATGCATTAATCAACATCAACTCTTGTAATTCTTCCAGGTACCCTTAGACCGCGATTTTAAAACAAGATTGTAAATTCAATGACAGCAATCTACTATTGCAGCATCAGTAATACCCAAGGTATAATTTTTGATTAAGATAAATTTTGGAGACAATTATTCCAGTACTTACACATTATTGAGAGCCATTATGGAAATGTTCCCTATAGGTTCTTGAAGGACTAATGTGTTGTTCCACGATTCTGTCTGTAGAGGGTTTTCCACTGTAAGAGTCAAGGCATATATCCCTGCCTGCATGGTAGAAACATGTTAAAGCATAATAACGATTTATGAAGAGTTTTAGTATAATCCATACTTATGAAGGTCTCCTGTGCCCTTATGCAGAGCGTAGGGTGGTGCCCATATCCATTTCTGTAGCCCTTGGGCGACACACAGTTGTGCAATGCACTACAGCAGGGGGCTGGTCCACTGGTAGTGCTGTGTGTTTGACCTTCCCACACTTTCTCATATGTGCTGAGTGCTAAGCAGAGAAAGAAGTGTGTACCATTTTTAAAGTCTTTGGTATGACCGGTACCCGGCCGGGGATTGAATTCACAACCTCCCGGTTACAAAGCGAGCACTCTACTAATCCATACTTATGAAGTTCATATATTCTGTGGTGCAGGTAAGGTTGCATGTTACTAGGTATGCAGAAAAATGTATTTTGAGCCCTAGGCCTGTACTTTTGCAACATAAGCAATCTTTTAACTCTAAAATGGGGTTTGAAAACACAATTGCTTAAATTTCATACATTCAAGCAAGAATCATTTTACCTACCTGGGAATAAGTCAAGTTGCAATGTGGTTCTTGTGTTCGTATGGGGTGTTCTCCATTCCCAAGATCCCAGATATATGTCACCACTGTACCTGTAAGGTCATAAAAAATATTAATGGTCTGTAAAAAATGGAACCTAGCTACGATTGGTATAAATCCTATTTATTGAGTTTGTATCTACCAGATACCTTTGACCCAGTGTTGACGTCACACTTCAAAGAAGCCACGTGACAAGCCTCACTGGGTCAGTCTACTGAGGAAGACCAGAGTGACTGGTCGAAAGCTCTAGGTATTGGACCAAAATTTTAACTTCAAACACCTTGAGTTTGTGTATTCAATGTATGGTTATTACCTTTGTTTCATTTTTGTTGTTTCTGTTTGGGTGTTTGTATTTCAGTAGTTATTTCCACATGATATGCATTGTCAAAGAAACTAACACTAAGGTCAATTCAAATTTCAATTTAGAAGTAATGTACATGTACATGTATAAGGTTTGTACCTTGAATATTGCTGGCATTACATGCAAGGATACTCTCCACAGTAAATGTCCACTCTGTCAATACTTGATCTCCATTTGCATAAGCACAAGTGAATGGGTCCTGGCCAGGAGCAAGCTCAATTGGTGCAAACTGTACAATAAATACAAAGAAAGGGAAATTAAAGATTATTTTAACCATAAGAACACCATCAGTGTCTAAAAATAGGTCAACAGTCAAAAATTAAAGAAAAGATTATCTTTACACTTAAAAGTATAGAGATACAAAACGCTAGCCTTAATTGTTGATAATGAAATTATTCTAGACCTGTTCTCAGTAAAGCAAAGAAATAATGATTTTATTGCATTATAAAATCATTGTAATGATTGTACTAGAAGTGAAATATCCAAAACATACCACATTGACCAAAAATGTCGTGTTAGCACTACTGATGTTGTTACTACACGTGATGTTCATTTCAAAGCTGCCTGGTTGGTCAAAACTGTGGCTGACGTGGACCAATGGAACTTTATGTATGCCAAGAGTGTCCGTAGAACCATCGCCAAAGTGCAGAAGGCAGCGGAGGTCAGAGCCACTGTCAACAGTGACATTGAACCCCATAGCCACGTTCAAAGGTAAGTCTGTATCACCAGACAGACTAAGATTGGTCACTGGCTCCTGTAAGGAGAAAATAAGTTGTTCTTCTTTACCGTACTACAGTTAATATACATGTATAACTGTATCATAAAATGAGATATTAGAGTTAACTTTCACAATTTGGCATAGAGATGAAATGAAAGACAAACATGGAAAAATGTGTGCTCGGAATCAAAAGGTCCTGGGTTCGAGTCCTGACATGCCACTGATCTTGTGCCCTTGGGAAAGGCACTTTACACTACTTTCCTCACTAGACTCGAGTGAAAATGAGTATTGTCTGTCCTGTATTTGTTTCTATCTATGTGAGGGACACAGCAACAGCAACAGCTGCCTCTGTTCCGCGTGTATTGCACTGTTGCAATTTCAATAAATCAAAAATCAAATCAAATCATGTGCTGTATATGATATGGAAAACCCCTTGTAAAATTATTCAATCCAAGATTCTAATCATAGGGGCTATAACAGCACTACTTTAAGTACCTTGGACAGTTCCATTGTATCAAAGCATGTATGTAAGTGTACATTATGTAAATGAGAGTTACCCACCTGTACGATTAGTTGTGATGTGTTTGATGTGCTCCCAGCATCATCTGCCACTATGACAGTGATTTCATATGTCCCAATACTGCTGAAGCTATGGATGAACATGGCACTCGTGTTGGTGATGTTGTAGTAAGTTTCACCATTGATCAGCAATGAATACACAGGGTCTGACTTGCTGGCTGTAATGTAAAAGATGTGGAAGAATGTAAAAGAATGTAGAAGATACTGCCTGAAACTTTACTTGTTGCAAAGTAACACAAAAATGGAGCTCTAGGACTCAAGATTGAATTATGACACATATGATTGATTGTATGATATTGAACATTGATAAATTTTGTCGATACAGTAACTATAAGCTAAAAAGGAACATGTCTAAACATTTTGTCTAGCCTGGGTGCCATCCTCCATAGTTTCCACCCGCTCCCTGATGTTGCTGAGACAGCGACATTAGGGAGTGGGCAAAAACTACAGAGGGTGGCACCCAGGCTATTTTTTTCCTCACTTTTATCTAGAATCTTTCATTTTGATCAACATGTTGAAAGCCTCGTGCACACTTTAATGTAAATAATTATTCAAACAATGCAGGTGAGTTAAGGAATAAGTCAGACAATATTTACTAACCAGCGTCAACGCTTGCGTAAAACGTCACAGGTGTATTCACAGCTGCAACTTCTACATGCTCCACCTCCACTGTCCAGTCACCAGCTACGGTAACAACCTTCCACAGCAACATCTCATCTTGTATGCTGTCGTCACCGTTCAGTTCAGTTGTGATGTTGTACAGGCCTCGTTTGGTAAACTTGTTCTGGAATCTGGAAAATACAATGTATTTTTGTTACCTTTGGGTACAGTAATATCATCTTTGTGAGTTTGTTTGTTTGTACATGTATTTTGTAGGTGTTTGAATGCAGTATAAGGGTGTCAGGATAAGGGGGGATTTGGTGACCACAGATTGACCTTAAGGACAAGATTGTTCTAGGCCAATAAACAGTTTCTTATGTAAAATAGATTCTTATAAATGAAAGAGCTCAAATGAAAATATAAGTTCATTCTGGAGCTGAGGGCAAAAGATCTGATTATCTTTAATTACTATCATTGACAATTTTAAATCGAATGATCTTTTGCCAAAAAAATGGACATTTGCTACTTTTTAAGATACTAGTGGTTGGATGAGTTACAGGCCAAATCAGTCAAATAAGTGCAATCTTTGTACAAGGATAATAGTGAGACAGTCATGTGTGTGTCCAACGATGTTTTGTTACACTTACAGAAAAGGCTTTACCTTAGATCCTTGCTAGTCATTGGTTGTTCCTGTCACAGCTTTCTTGGTAAATTCTACTCTATCAAAATTGTAGGACGACCTACCATGAATGTGAACATGCCATTTTTTTTATTTCGTCTTAAAAAACACCTATGGGAGGCACCTTGAGCATTAGTTACCTTGCAGCTGTAGGGTTGTACGTGATGGCACAGACGTAAGGATTCACGTTAACAGTGTCCTTGACTGTGTCATCCCGACTGTGCAACCGGAACTCTGGATGCTCGGACGGCATGAAGGACAGCTGTCCGTCATTTAAGGTCAGCTTGAATCCAATCACATCACCAGGTGTCACTGTGATGTCTTCTTCTACATTGTAAACCTGATTGAAATGCATCAAACAATATGGCTTTATGTTTTAACATATTGTTCAACATTGATTTTTGCTTTACACTGTACTTTGTGTTGCTGAAATTTGTTTTTAAATGGTAATGATGAAAATTATACACATCTGTATCTGCATCTGTATAGCCGGTATAACCGCCCTTCGGCGTAACACGTCCAGCTTCACAGGCACGCGGCGCGGCAGCAGCTGGCTATACTACACCAAACAACTTGTTATGCCTAACCTTTGAAAATCTAACTCTAAATATTGTTTTTAAAAAATAGTCAATTCCTTGACCCAACAATAATAAATGATGTGTAACTACATGTAACTACCAACACAGATGAACTTTCATGATGGAATTATAAATGATAATTGAAGACTCTGAACAACTCTACTCAGTTTTAGTTGGGGACACTTACAGTTCTTCCAACTGCTGTGACCTCGATCGTGGTGCTTTCTACCCTTCTGTAGCTCATCCCAGAGGCACCCTCTGCCGCTGGATTGCACATTGACCCTGCAGGGTCACACGTAGGACAGAGCTGATCTGTGGTAAAACTACAGCCATATTCCTCTGGGAGATCGCAGTCATTGTCCCTGGACCTTCCATGGCTGTTCTCACATTCTGGAGACAATACCTAAAATGGGAAAAATACAAAACGAGTTCAATGACATCTAATATTTATTTGTGACTAAAGCCTTATATGTTTACGGGATGCAAGTTTTTTTTTTCTGTACCCATTTTGTTCTGTTGATAAAAAAAGGGTTCATTATCAAGACACAGATTATTATCCTGTCCTGTTGCTTTCATCCAGTTAATAAAATCAAAAATATTGCTTTTGGTGGGTTGTCTGTGGGAATATTTGCATGTTCGTCTGCACAGAGCACAAAATGTAATCTAGGTTGACAGCACATGGGAAGAGGGAAGATTGACAGGCAGAATGATCCACAATGCTTCCTTGTATTGTATACTGGAAAGTCTGATACTGGTAATAACAAAATCTCTACTAAAGTAATAAGTTTCAATGGATATGAATGAATACTAGTATTTACCATAAGTTCAATTGTGCCAGTTCTTCTTGCATGGAACTCCCATGCTATGATGCTGCTTGCCACGGAGAACTGGCTTGCTGGCACGACAAAAGTACCAAGCTGTTTTCCCAGTTCCTCCTCCGGAATAGACGTCATGTTGACATCATTTGGGATAACCGGACCTACAGTACTGAATGCTGCATCTGTGATATGAAAAAAAATGAGAGGTCATTAATGAAAAGTAGAAACAAAAGTGGTGTTAAAAAGAACCGCTTGGGAACCCTAAAGTCTAAATGTCATCTAGACAGGCTGCCTTGAACCACCATTCTTTGCCTTTGGTTTGCAAGTATGACTCGAACCATGATTGCCACAAAGGAAAGGCCTTGCATATGTACATGTATCTGTAACTTGTGAATTAAAACTAGATGTGATACTGAATCAAAGGCTTCAGCAAAGTGAAGTCCACTTGATGCCTTTTGATTTTGTTTCTGTTTCTTCTCCTGACATTTTTGTTTTCAGCTAGCACATTTCTTAATTTTTGTTTAAGTTTCCTTGTTTACTACTTTTCATTACTACTTTTCATTATTGTAGATAGTATTGTATTGTATTGTATTTTATTGTTTTGTTTCATTTACCCGTTACCTGGTAAGTTATTTCTTATTTATCCGATTAATTTGAATTGTTAATTAAGTTATGAAGGGAGGCCTCCTCATAAGCATTTTATGCTTCCGGCCTCCCTGCACTGTTACATTTCATTTATATTTTCTTGTGTCTGTATTTTGTTTTAAAGTGCGAATAAAAAAAATTGAAAAAACTGAAAAAAAAACTAGCAATCGTCAAGTCTAAATGTTGTTATATTGTAGCAGTTATCTTATGACACTGTTGGACCTGTTGAGTCTAGATGTAAATGTTTTAGAACGAAAAAAAAGTCATTTCGATGTACCTGACAAGGCCAAGTTTACATAGCCAGGGTCTAGATGTACAGTAACGTTCAGCCTTGCTGCCCAGTTTGCTGTGATAGTACACGTTCCGTTGTCTCCAATGTCCAACTGTGACTCACAGTCCAGCTCTGCTGTCAGATCAGGAACCCTGACCACAACTACTGCATCTGCCCTAACCTGTGAGACAGATGCAGTATTACGTCGGTGAAGGTTAGACATCCAGATAAACCAAAAACATGCATGCACATACAGTTACTCATTGACAAGCCACTGAATATAATTTTGGAAACGGCCAGACGTTTCAGGTAGCATCCACTACCTTAATATCATGTCAGTGACACTAGAGAGCTCTCAAATTCAGAAGGCTTACATGTATAAACACATTGTCAAGTTATTGACTGATATGCAAATGAAGTCTTCACTGGCGACAGGTAGTGGATGCTACCTGAAAAAAAGTTCTGCTGAAGTACCAAGAAAATTTCATGTGCCTGTGAAACATCGATGAAGGTTAGACATCCAGGTTATAAGATACACCAAAAACAGTTACTCAAGCAACTGGATATAATTTTGTAAACGGTTGACAGACTGTCAGAGCATCCACTACCTTTTGTCGGTGACACTGGAGAACTCAGAATATTTGTTAACACAAGCTACTGATTGATACTATCTGAAAAATTTATTATAACCTTTTCCAATATCATACCCAGATGCTTGAGTAACTTTTTTTGAGCGTACCAGATGTAGACTTTGAATGAACATGAACAGTAAGAATGATAATAAGTAATGCTAATGCTACTAATCTTAATTGCTACTTGACTCAATGAAGGACACATACATGTATCACTTATAAATCTTGACACCGATGCTACTTGAAATGTCTGACAGAAAATTTATCCAGTTCCATGTGATAGGAATGTTAAATAAATGTAACATCTGTGTCCACAATATCACCAGGGTCCATAATATTGCCACCTTGAGAAATAGTGTGCTTAAAGATATTTTTACTGCAACATACCCTAGGTATGTACATTTGAGGTGTGCAGGAGTGCATACCAAAAGTATGTTGCAGTAAAAATATCTTTAAGCACACTATTTCTCAAGGTGGCGATATTATGGACCCTGGTGATATTGTGGACACAGATGTTAATGTGAAGTAAAGATCTGTAGAAAATCATTCTTATGATGACTAGAGTTACAATCTCGACTTAGTTACCACAAATCCCCTGCCGTATGCCGTGACAGTGACATGGTACCTCCCTGGTAGGGAGTATGCATGATGTAGGTCTGATGTTGTGAGGGTGACTGTCCCTGTGTTGTCTCCAAAGTCAGCCACTACTTCAGTTGTCTCAAACACGTCTGAAGGACTGACATCGATAGCTGTGCTCCAGTTTTCCTGCAGCTGTAAGGACACATGGCATTTATGAAAATGGGAAGATAATATTATATAAATGATATTATTAATTTTAGTAAATGTAAGAAATGTAGTTGGGTTTTAGTAAGTTAAAGATACCACACTCTTGTACAATAAAGTTTAATGGTCATTGCAGATAATTATCCATTCGGATTTAGTGGTTAAACCCAACAGAATCACAAAAAAATGGATGAGTATCTTGTGTTTGAAACAATTTTAGTGGCAAAGTAGCTCTAAAAGAAGAACTTGCAGTGTCACTGAAAAAAATGTGAACATAAAAACTAAGTCTACAAAAATGTGAGAGATTGCAATATTCTGTGGTCTTTTTTGAAAGATGAATCAGATGCAACGTTAAAGAGTTCAAATGTGTTATTAATAATGTAAGACGTACCTTGACGGAGTAAGTTGAGTTCCCAAAGCTAAGGTTTACGTTTGTTGGCATCAGACCGTAGACAGAGGCCTGTCCCACTCCTCCGCAGGGGTGGTCAGGTTGTCCGGTACAAGATGTGTTACAGTTGTCACCGCGTGGGAGGGACAGCACCGACTCATTAGCACACAGACAGGTGTTGCCGCCCTGTGAACAACAAAAAACAGACCAAAATGTTATAGTAAAAGGTTGAACTTTATTCCAACACACAATTGTACAGGGATCAAATTTTCAGCGACCACTGTCGCCTTCATCAGGATAATTGATGACCAATCACTTCACAACGTGATCTCACAAGAATTACGGTTTACAAACACGTGACCTTATTCACACGAGATTTTACTGATACGTGACGTAAGCAATTGATCAAAAGTGCCAGGGAGTTTACATTGTATATCGTCCACCATCTCTATTAAGTGAAGGCTGAAAGTGGTCGCTGAAAATTTGATCCCTGTACAATTGTGTGTTGGAATAAAGTTTAACCTTTTACTATGATTACTACCAACACAGATGAACTTTCATGATAAAACCAAAATGTTAATCAGATAGTCTAATCATTACAAGAAGAATGGCAAAATTCATTTTATTATGAATTTCATAGTATTACAGTAATTTTCGACGGAATCTCTCAGTCTTCATTGGCTACCTGGGAAAAAAATCTGTAGCACTGATAGCTGATGAAGACCGAAAGATATTCGGTTGAAAATAATTACCAATTTATTGTTAATTACCAACTTTAAAATTACCAACTCAGATGCTAATACTTTAGCTAAGTATGTTGTTTTCCGTGAACCTATATTTTTAGGTTAGCTGCACCAGCGGACCTATTCCAAAAATTAACTTCGAGCTCAATTGCCTTCAAATAGCACGTCTGACTGTGTAGAATACAGTTTCAATACTCACCATCAGAAGTGCAAACATCTCCCCGAGTAGTCCACAACTGTTCTGGCATGATGTTGGGCTGGTCGTGGAAGGGTCATAATCACCCACAGATGTTATACTCACAGTGCCATCATCATCATCATCATCCTCTAGGCTCAGACATCCGGCTAGATAATAAAATGTGCAGGGATTTAGAGTTGTAATACCCGATTAAATTACATCACACATTGTCCCGTCCACAGTTCCAATACGACGCAACTAATATTTTCATTGTCAAAGTGAAATGCACCAGGGCCAGGGCTGTCACCAGGACCCATCCCTCCATTTGTAGGGAAGGCACTAATATTTTCACGATTTGCTGAAACAAAATTTGCTTCTGAAATGTGTGAAATGTTACAAATGTCAGAAGGTTCCAAATTCAGATGTCAGATTGAAAAGCTTATGGCCTTGCCAGCGGCTGACCCCCAAAATGCAAGAGTCAACGGATTGTTGCTACATGTAGGGTCGGTCGGGAAATTGGAAACACAACTTTTTTTTCTTCACTGAGTCAAGTAGCAATTAAAATTTAGTAGCATTAGTGTTACTTATTATCATTCTTCTTGTTCATGTTCTTGCAATTAGCCCTTGGTCATGGATTTGCTATAGACTAGTACTTCCCTATTGAAATTATATGAAAAGACTTACCGTCACAGCTGAGACCGTCAGAGCCCAAGATGTACCCCAGTCCACAGGAACAGTTGTAGCTCCCTGCAGTGTTCTTACAGGTCTGTGCACAGCCTCCGTTTGAGCTCTCACATTCATTAATGTCTGAAAGAGCAGAAGTTAAAGAGCGTCATGTGTTAACCCTTGTCCTGTGGGGCCCATATATACATGGGTTGCACATACAGTACCATCTACATGTATATAGCGCCCTGTATATGTACGATTTGGGGGTGTTTCTCGTGCAACACATCACACCGCAGCAAAATGCAATGAATGTAGAAAAAAGTCAAGGATCTGTGACCTTATTAAGACCAAGGAGGTTAAAAACTCCAAACTACAAAAATTTGAAGGTTCTGGGCTCGAATGCCTGCCAGAGATTAGAACCCAGAACCTTCAGGTTCTGAGTCAAGAACCCTAACCTCAAGACCACATTAAGTTGACATTATTCTTACCGTCACAATCCTGGTCGTTTTTAGGACTCACAGTGTATCCATGGAAACAGGAACAGTTGAACCCGCCTGCCCAGTTAGTGCAGGTCTGCTCACAGCCACCGTTAGCTGATGCACACTCATTCACATCTGTAACAAGTAAAAGAGCCTTCGTTTTTCATTCACGTTTGAACTAACGTTCATGGTACACTGATGATGAGTAACAAAACTAACTGCCTTTTATTTATAAAAGAAGAGAGCTATTCAACAAAATTGCCAAAACAGACAACAGTTGGTAAGGGCATCTGAGCTGTCGAAATCTGGGCCTTTTGGGGGATGTATCTGATGTTTATGGTCAAAAACAAGATTAAAAAACATGCCCCGTATCAAAGGTGATAAGACCCTCTAGAATTCAAAATTTCCAAAACAACGTCAAACCATGCTTTATGCATGTTAACTCTGATGTGTTTCAATGTTAACCTTTCTGGCACTAAGTATTTTAAACCTCCTGATGCCACTTTTTACTCAGTGAGGGCAATTGACATCCATTTGAAAGAGTTACAGTTAGGCCACACCAATTTAATTTGTTGGTTCTCGGATTCGCCTCTTCGTTTTTTTCTGATTTGCAAAAAAAAAAATTTGATTCTTTTCCTGAACCAAGTGAAAAATCATGTTTTGCCCCCCAACAGTTGAGGAAAGTCCTTTTCTTCCTAGTTGTTACAGTTTTCTCATCTATCATTGCAGTGGTTTGATTAAAAGTTCAAAATTCAATGTTTAAATTTCAACCCAGCCTTTTGTGTTGACTTCATGGCTCATTTTGTACCATTTAAGCCTGTAATAGGATGCCTAGACCTGTTTTTATTTTTATTTTTTTTTCATATTTTTTCTGAAAAAATCTGAGAACCAACAAATTAAATTGGTGTGGCCTTACTAATAACTAACTAGGTGACTATCAAGATTAGAAAATACAAAAACAAAATATAATTTACCATCACAGCCGAGGCCGTCAGACCCCAGGATGTAACCGTCTGCGCAGGAGCAGTTGAATCCTCCATCAGTGTTCTGACATGTCTGGTCACACCCTCCATTTAACGTTTGGCATTCATTGATATCTAAGAAAAGTTGCAGATAGGAAATACAAAAAACGAGCAGTCTCAAGTCACTTTTATTTCACATATCGTTAATGCGTGAAATCCTCCAATTCCACTAAGACTGCCATATTAAAATATGCGTAAGTACACGTACATGCGGTCAAGCAGCTATTTGCCATGCTATCATTGGTTGAACTACTACTTGTGATGGACAGTTAGGAACGGTCTATAGACATCACAGTTAGCTTCACAACTAATGGGAGGATGGTCATTTCAGCCAACGGGAGGATGACCATTAGCACTTTGGTCAATGACAGTTGGGTGGGGTTTTTTTTTGGGGTTCAATCTATTGCCCAACACCTGCGAAATAAATTTAAGAGACTCGAAGAAGATCTTACCATCACAGCCGAGACCGTCGGAAGCTAAGGTGTACCCTGCTGCACAGGCACAGCTGAAGCTTCCGTCAGTGTTCTGACAAGTCTGTGCACAGCCTCCGTTTGCCGTGTCACATTCATTGATATCTGTTGGAAGCAGAAGAAACCCAGTTGTAAAGTCAAGATACAAAGAAGATTCTTGCTCTACTTTTAATTTACATATACCTACGATGGTGTTACAGATATCAAAACCTAAACATTTCCAAACATGCAAGAATTGTCAAGTTGCCACCTGACGAGATTCAAGATTGAAGCAAAGTAATACTGAAAAATCAACAAGATACTGATGCTTCAAAGCATATAAACATGAAGGCCTTGAAAAAAAATTCTTCAAAGACACCTAGTAAAGCCTTGGTCACATCAACTACTTTTTGATGTTTTGCGTCAGCCCAGGACCATGTACTAGTTTTTTTATTCTCCATTCTGCTACAGAGGTAAGGTGGAAATAAAATGCCGTCATCACGTAAAAGCCAGACAATTAACTCAATATATAAGTTGACAAACAAGGAACCAGCTCTCATCAACAAGAGACAGCTCCTGTTTCTTGGACACTCTCACAGAATGGCAAAATGAGAAAAAAGACGTCCTTGCCTATAGAAAACCAGCAACCTGCCAAGTCAGAGGTTGCTTAGGGGACATTGAGGCCGACCTAGGCCTATTAAGATAACTGCTATCATGCATGGTGCCTGCCATCGAAAATCGAGGATTCCATTCCTGGTGTATTTATCTATCCAAATTTACCATGATTGTGGAAAGATTGTCAGAAGAGGTAACAATAAACCCCAAGACCAGACAGTAAGATTTGCTCCACTCTGAGAAGGACCCCTGCACTTTTCAGTAAGTGTATTTGGTCCTACATGTATAACATGCTTGAGATGCCGCATCAGGAACAAGCGGTTAAAACAACCAAGGTTTGTAAAGCTACTGCTCCACGAGGCTTACCGTTGCAGTCTGTGTCATCAGCTGGGTTCACAACAAACCCATCCATACAGGAACAGCTGAAGCCAGCTGCTGTGTTGGTGCAGGTCTGTTCACAGCCTCCATTGGATGATGTGCACTCATCGACATCTAAGTAGCAACCAATCAGTGAGTGAGTTAGTGAGTGAGCGTGAGTGAGTGAGTGAGTGAGTGAGTGAGTGAGTGAGTGAGTGAGTGAGTGAGTGAGTGAGTGAGTGAGTGAGTGAGTGAGTGAGTGAGTGAGTGAGTGAGTGAGTCAAAATTAGCAATTTAAGGCCAATAAGAGAACAGGATTTGGTCATCAAATTTTTGTCGATGTCACCGATGTTTTACAGAGGCATTAGAGTTGCTAGGGGAAGGTGTCGTGGCTTTGGGACCAGTCTATTGTTAGCATGTCCCATCAGTGCAGTGCAATGTTAGAATTATCAGCCAAGTAACTTCAAGCAATTCAACATTTCGGGAACAAGGGAAAGGCTTAACGAAGATGATAGCATTACATACCAGCATCCTTTTGGCAGAGAACCTTAAATCTCATACTACATTGGTGATCATTCCACCAGATGCCCCCATGGACACAATCCTCGTTTCCGCCGCTATTGTTTGGTTCACTTCCCCCGAAGTTGTGGTATTCACTGCTCCGGTCAAGCAGGGTGCCATCTTCCCAACGGAACTCTCCCTCATTTTCTATGTCATTCAGACCAATCCAGTAAGCTCCACCAGTGTTCAGAGAGTACAAGAAGGTGTTGGTGGCATCGTCTTTTGGCATGGCCAGTAACGCGCCCTCTGACACACAGGCTTCACGTGCCTCGTTGTAATTAGAGGTTTGATCAAAGGCCTTGTAACAGTTTAGGCCATGCAAGGTGTAGCCATCAGCACAAACCAATTCTGGAAAAACAAACAAGCATGGGCGAGGATTAAGCGAAGAAACCATGAGGGTGACTGAGGAGAATTGAAAAATGCCCACTACAATCATTGCCAATGAGTCTGTATGGCTGAGGACCGATTTGAACTCCTAACCCCTTTTTCCAAGATGCAAGGTCGATAACCACTGGACTACAATACTTCAAAAGACGTAGATGTTAGACCATGCTTCCCACTGGACTGTTCCTGTCGGTACCGGTAAGGGATGTAGGCCGGAAGTATAATTCCTTCCTACTGTCCTCTTTTAAGGATCCACTGAAACACGTTGGAAGCCTCCACATTTTGGTACCTCTCCGAAAGTGCATTATAACATGTAGGTACCAGCTCGTCTGACCATTGTGAAGACCATAATGCTTAAGCCTCTTCCTGAATTCCTCCACATACAGCAAAGTCATAACAAGACCAGGTACATGCTGGGTCACACTTGACCTGATCAATCAACTGTCAAATTCATCTCCAACTCTCCGCATGCAACCGTTGCTGTTTGTTGTAACACACTGACAAGTCAGCCACCTTCAACCATACTCCTGTACCCGAAAGTAACTATCATAAATAAATGGAAAGCAGATATAATAGTGTCCGTTGCCGCATAGAGCTACTGCTCTAAGTTGAAAACAGTTACAGGAGATAATATATAGGATTAAGTGGCTAAAAATAAATCCACAAGCATAGACACATGAAGCCACCAGAACTCGGCCCATACAAACGTCAATTGTACTGCTCCATTGTTTGTTTCGTATAACCGATAAATCACCTTTAGGCGTAACACACCAGTTTTGTACAGTAAATACGGTAAGGTTTGAACCACTTACACCGGGACGGACCCCTTATAATCTTGTTGATAAGTGTGGTTGAATCTTTAATGTGCTTGAGGTGTGACTCTTCTCAAACAAGGGTCCTAGCCCCTAGCTTAGCATCACATATGAGAGGACATCTGTAACCAAAGCCAGGTGCTCATTTTCAGTGAGAGAAAGAGAAGTCCTTACCATCACAGCCGAGACCGTCAGAAGCTAAGGTGTACCCTGCTGCACAGGCGCAGTTGAAGCCTCCGTCAGTGTTCTGACAATTCTGTGCACAGCCGCCATTTGCCGTGTCACATTCATTGATATCTGCAGTACAAGATACAGTTTTGTAAGGTACATGTAAGACAGGCATGTTCATCTGTGATCATGGTACAATTCATTAGTTGTGTAAAGAAAGCATTGTAGAGCCAACCACTCCACTGACATCAGGTGTGAGGTTTACCTTTTTTTATTCCAACAATTCATTCAAGTCTCTCAAGTTTTTTCAACTATTTTATGCCGCCCCAATGCAGAGGACAAATACAGGACAGGACAATACTCATTTTCACTTGAGTTAAGTGAGGAAAGTCGTGGTAAGTGCCTTTCCCAAAGGCACAAGATCGGTGGTATGTCAGGACTCGAACCCGGGACCTCTTGGTTACGAGTCGAGCACTCTGCACTTAATATACGACACAACCCAACATACATGGCTTACCATTGCAGTCTGTGTCATCAGCAGGGTTCACAGCAAACCCGTCCGTACAGGAACAGCTGAAGCCAGATGCTGTGTTGGTGCAGGTCTGATCACAGCCTCCATTGGAAATTGCACATCCATCGATACCTATGTACAAATGTAGTAACCAATCATCTTGTAGTTGACATAATACTGGTTTACTATAGGGCCACAAGCAACATACACACACACACACACACACACACACGCACACATACACACACACACACACACACACACACACACACACACACACACACACACACACATTGTCACACACACACACACACACACATGCTTTTAGTTTTAATACTAGTAGTAAATTTAAATATTAGCGCCACTGCTTTTCTGTTACACTGTACAGGTGCATGTTTGGAAGTTTGACACCTCATAGGATTAAAATTCACATTTGCTCTTCACATACCTGGTTTTCTTTGGCAGAAGTACTTATAGCTGATGGAGCACTGGCTGTCTCCCCACGCCGAAACTTCGTTCAGAAAAAAACCGCAATCTTCATCGGCATGACTACCACTCGGTTCGCCCGGTATGAAGTTGCGATAGTCGTTGCCAAGCAGGGTGCCATCTTCCCAACGAAACTCTCCCTCCTTTTCTATGTCATTCAGACCGATCCAGTAAGCTCCACCGGAGGACAGAGAGTACAAGAAGGTGTTGGTGGCATCGTCTTTTGGCATGGCCAGTAACGCGCCCTCTGACACACAGGCCTCCCGCGCGTCGTTGTAATTAGAGGTTTGATCAAAGGCCTTGTAACAGTTTAGGCCGTGCAAGGAGTAGTTATTGGCACAAACCAATTCTGAAAATAAAAATATGAGGAAGAATCACAGATCAGGTAAATTATGACAAACGATTGTAACTGTTGAATTTCGGAAAACAGCCGAAGACCACCAAACCCCAGTTCTATAAGCCTACTATGGAGGCTACTGGAGACTAATGTTATTTTTGTTCATATTGAACAAAAGAAAGATAATAAATTAAGGAAACTAAGTGGGCATGGACCATATTGGGCTCTTATTGGCAACAATTAATAAAAGGTGATTGAGAGGTAGTATGTTCAACTTGGAGCTATCATCTGTACTGCTTTGACTATGACTCAGTATGAGATAGGCGGATGGTGCTCTCAGGCTTCTTGTTGCAAGAATGTAGAGAATGGTAAGAAAAGACGGAAGACAAAAAGGGAAGATTTACTCCTGTTCCATTGCCAAAGTGGTCAAAACTCTACAATAGACACTGTAGTGTTCGAAAAGAAAAATCTACCCACGGTTGATGCTGCAGCCGAGAATCTCCGCCCTCATGCTGATGTGTGAAATCCATGTCTGAACCACGAAACGCACAAAACGGGCATCGATGGGAAAGTCCAGGAGGTTGGTAACAGGGGTGGTCCGGTCCGTATTGCCCGTAAAGATCTGAAAGACATTCAATCAATCCATCAATCAATCTATCAATCTATCAATTAAATCATCAATCAAATGATCTGCATAACCTAACATGTAAACTAAGGCAACTTGCAAAAATCACACTCATTTTTGGATTTGATTGCAAGTCATAGCACCTTAAGATGTTGGCATGACACACTGTTGCGCCAAAAATATGAAGAAAAGGAATAGATAAAGAAATAAGAGGTGGAGATTCTCCTTGTATTACAGCAATCTGCCATTACAATTCATTAGGAACAAATATTCTACTTAATGCCAATGGCTATTTCAAATACGCCATCAACAAAATAACAAAGGACAAAAAAAATTTGTCCCCCATCCGTACCTTTTCTGAGCCATCTGTGTCCATGTAGAACGTGTATGCTGCATTCTCGCCTACACTGTATTTCAGTTTAAACGAGGTCACCCACTGGCCCATAGCAGATCGTCCCTGTGTGATGACGCCAGTAACTCGCTTCACTTCAGCCAGGTCCACCTAGAAGCACATTTTTATCACCATATTTTTTTTCTTTTGAGAATAGAGAAAAAAAAAACTGAAGCTGTGAAGAAGTGAGAAGAATACCTTTCACTATCCTTAGCGTATCCTCAGTACACAGAGTATGAGTTAGCAATTTTCAAAATGAAATCAAAACGATGTATAATTGCTGAAATACTGAGGCTTTAATAACAGTACAGTTCACTATGCTGTCATCTAAAACATATACTTAGTAAATCAAGACTGTATACTCTACAGTCTGGCTTGATACGGTAACATCTGAGTGTGTCCATAATATCACCATTTAGTCCATAATATCGCCACCTTGAGAAAAAGTGTGCTTAAAGATATTTTTCCTGCAACATACCCTAGGTATGTACATTTGAGGTGTGCAGGAGTGCATACCAAAAGTATGTTGCAGTAAAAATATCTTTAAGCACACTATTTCTCAAGGTGGCAATATTATGGGCGCTGGTGATATTTTGGACACGGATGTTACATACATGTAGCATGACGTCTACCAAAAAAAATCTCACACTTGTAACAAGAGGAAATCAACTCTTTGAATATGCAGCTCAGACCTGTAAATACTCTCCGGCAGCATTATGTCGAGCTGACCAGGCGCCTGTTACACTGATTACGTTCAAGCGGCCTCGGTAAGGTTCGTGGTCGGCTGCCCAGTACGATGACGCAGTGATGCTTTCATTGGGAATGTCCCCGGACTCCATTCCGAGCGGAAGTCTGCAAACTGGAAGGACAGGAAAAGGTAAATCCAGCATACATGTACATCCTAGTTGTGAACAGTCATATGCTACATGTATGTCATTTCTGAGAATGATAAATAAAATTACCCAGTTTATTAGTCATTTCGTACAGATGCACTTGTATATCTTACACCTGTATCATTGATAGTAGCAGTAGTTATTCGCTTCATACAAGTTTGAAAGTCATGGAAGCCTTGAGGCTTAATTGTAGATTCTTCTTACATATCATCAAAACACTTTTAAAGAGTCTTCAATCTTTGTAAGAAATCAACTTAAAAATGAACACACAATACAGATAAAAAGTGATCATGCAATAAACTCTATATATATTGTGTTTGACTGTGTTTTTCTTACCATCGCAGTCATGTCCGTTGTCGTTGAGAGTGTAACCATACGTACAGGAGCACTCGTAACTTCCCACACGGTTAGAGCAGGTCTGTTCACACACGCTACTGAGCGAGTCACATTCGTCGTCATCTAATCAGGTGTTTGATAAAAACAGTCAAGACTTGCATCAATGAAGGTTAGACATCATGTAGAACATTATGTTATAAAAGCTTCGTTACAGGGATGTTGTGGCATGGCCGACTAAGATTTGCCAAGCCAGTTGCAGAATTCGAAGTCTACAGCCTGTCTTTGAAACATGCTGATAACATTGAAATCTATAATAATAATTTATTATTATTCATGCTGTTGTGTTGGAAACTACGGTTCAGACATCTTCGGAAAGACTCATACCAATTATATATACAAATGAACCTTCAAGCCACACAAAACATTTTGTATTTTTATCATAATTACATGTACTATTTGTTGGGCCCCATGACACTTCTCCCAAATACTAGTAATACTCAAAACTCCATGAAAAATGGCAGCCTTGTTAGGCATAAAGGAGTCATTCTGACTTTAGATAAAGGCACAAACAAACAAACAAAATCGCCTTACCGTCACATTCGAGAGTGGTGGTGTTCATGACATATCCGTCATCACAGACACAGCTGAAACTTCCGACACTGTTCACGCAGGTCTGCAGATTACTGCTGCAGTTCCCATTGGACGACGCACACTCATCTGCATCTAATGGGCCAATCAGACAAGTTGTTAGAATGAGGCTCATTTGCATCTAAGTGGACCAATCAGGCAAGTTGTTAGAGTGAAAACTCATCTGCATCTGAAAAAATGTTTACAAGGGGTATGACTACGTAATTGTGTTGCTGTATCACACAGTGTCACCTACATGATTCACTTCAAAACAGAGACCTGGCAATCTATGTCTAGTATTAAGCTAACGAATGGGCATGCCACTCTGTAAAGAGGGCCTGCATGGGGGTTCTCGACAACGCTCTACGCTAAATTTTGAGAGCCAGCTTCGTATTACGTAGCTGAATTCAAGAAGCCTCCCACATTACGCTTTACTATAAATTCAGGGTAGCTACAACGCATTACATAAAATAAAATGACAAATTACGCTCTGCGCAAAATGCGCCAATTACGCTCTATGTAGAATTAGAGCGGTCCGTCTACGCTCTACATAACATTAAAATGGCCGATTATGCTCTACGGAAAAGGGCATGTAGACCACCTGTAAAGGGTAGTACATGCATAACCCTGACCAATATTCGGTCAATTGATGATGATCACACACCTGTTTCACAGGCAAACTGGTGAGACGAGGAGCAGGTTGCATCATTCCAGTCATTAGGTCTCATCTGAGCACAGCTTTCGTGAGTATTGCCGTTAGGCTCATTGTTTCCCCACTGTTCGTAGTCACCTCCCTCCAGAACACTTCCATCCTCCCAGAGCCACGTACCTACATGTACATGTATATATGGCAAGAAATTGGACATGTAAAATGCAAGATTGAAAGTTTTTATTGGAATAAAAGATGATGAAAGATCATGAAAAATGAAAGATTTTATTGGAATAAAGGCTTCACGCGTGCGTGTAAGATGTAATATTGGAATAAAAGCATTTGAAAGGTCCTGTTTTTGTCGGAATGAATTCCCATGGGTGCAATTGGTTTGTAAGATTTAGTGTAAGATTTCAGAGCGAGTGAATTCGATGTAGCAAGATAGAGTTCGTTTACATAATTGGTTTGTAAGATTTGTTGTAAGATTGTGAAATATGCCGTGTTTTTCTTTGTCTAATATTTGGCCACTACTGCATGTACATATTCTCAGAATGCCCCAAGACACACCTGCACAAATAGCTCTGGAATTTTCATTTCTTAGCTCCTTAAGTTAAAGAGATATAAAGCTCGCAGGGGGAGACATGGTATCAAGTTATGAACCTACTCAGCTTACTGCACAGTGCAGGGAGACCTACTCAGCTTACTGAACGCAGAGGGCTAGGCCCTCCCACAACAGAAAAGAAACTCAAAGAGTTTAGAAAGCTCGCGAGGCAGAAGGCACGTATGGTGGAAAGAGATGAAGAAAGACTGAATGCGGCTACAGGACATGTCCACACGACTGTAGACGCAGAACACAGTGGATGATGATGATGATGACTGCACGTACCCTCAGTGGCTTGATCACTCAGGCCGATCCACTGGTAGCTCGATGAGACAAATGACCTGATGAAGGTGTTGGTGTCCTCATCTCGTGGCATGGCCATCCACGCGTTCTCCCCCGCGCATGTCTGTCGAGCGTTGGCAAACGTTTGCGCGACCGAGAAGGCCTTGTAGCACCGGGCGCCGTGGTGGGTGTAGCCGTTAGGGCAGATTCTTGGCCCTGTTAGTGATGTGACACAATGTTGAGTTGAGAAAAGTGCTGAGGCAGGAAAATCTTGAATATCAATGAACTTTTAGTTGTCTAAAAAGACAAATTAGTTATTCTAATTTTATCAAAATATTCATAACTTTATTGGAAGGTAAAAGTATGGCATCTGCTGGTACATTATCACTACAATTTCATAAGGTTAACCTACATGTACATTGTACCTAATACAAGAGTGTGTGTGGCTATAATATTGGATGGGAATGAGCTTCAAATAGCACTAATGGTTTATTGCACCTTTGTAAAATGCACATGATTTGCATAGTGTATGCGAATGATTCATTGATCAACAATTCAGATCAACAATTCACTGATCAGCAATTCAGAATAAAGTAATTATAAAGCTTAATACTCTAAAACGTTTACGACATTAATGACGTCATTGAGTGTAACAAGTCGTTCGGTGTGATACATGTATAGCTAGCTGCCGCCGCGCTGAGTGCCTGCGAAGCTGGTGTGTTACGCCGAATGGCGGTTATACCGGCTATAATGATACAGATACATCTATGGATGAAACATTTTGTTTAATGCTTTTGCATTCCAAGGATAGCAAATTGAATGTATATACTATTAGGCATTTAGTTTTATTGAGCCAAACTAAGATGAGGAGTACAGTATTACCTACCTGTTGTGTAAAAGCAAGATATTGCATTTGGAATAGAATGGTCGTAGCAGCATCCTCGCTGTAGACAATCCTGTTGTGATATCCCGCCAAAGCCACAGTCCTCTCGCAAGTGAGCCGCTACCTGGCATTCTGCTAGATAACAGACCATATACATCCACAAATAAAACTTATATATTAGGCCACACCCATTTAATTTCTTGGTTAACGGATTTTTCTAGAAAAATAATGGAGCGGGCGGGCGAAAAAAAATAAAAATAAAAATAGGCCTAGGCATCCTATTATGGCCCAAAATGGTACGATAGGAGCCATGAAGTCAACACACCAGGCTGGTTCAAAATTTAAACAATGCATTTTGAACTTTTAATGATACCATTGCATTGAAAGATGGAATAACTGTAACAACTAGGATGAAAAGGACTGTTTTCAACTGTTCAGGGCAAAATATGAGCATTTTGCAGTTGATTCTGGATTTTTATTTTTATTTGCAAATCAGAAAAAAATGAAGCGGCGAATCCGTTAACCAAGAAATTAAATTGGTGTGGCCTTAGGAACAATTTGCCTTGTTGGTATTAATCGTCTCTATGCTTGTTGGACAAGGGTTAAGAAGGGTTCCAAGCCCCCACCAAAACGATGACATCTTTAAAGGGTTTGTCACTGATTATGAAAATAATGGAGGCAGGCAAAGTGCCATACATGAACTATGATACACACACACAAACACACACACACAAACACACACACACACACACTCATACACAAACACATACACACACTCTCATACACATAACACACACACACAAAATCACATGCACACACACACGTGCCCATGTACACACATCCATTTGTACAGTCTTTGTACCTACCAGCTTGTTCTTGTGCCAATACACTTTGTGGTATCTGTGGGAGAAAATACATTACAGTTACTTTATTATGTGTGCAGATCTATATTAGGTCAGATCAGCTTAATATGTCAATGAAAAGAGATGACAGCCAATCAACCAACCAACCAGACCTTACTTTTTATCAGAGAATTTTTGCAGATGATTGCCAGACATAAAAGAAGTAGTCTCAATCGAGCACTGGATTACGCCAAAAAGCAGTTACTCAAGCAACTGGATATGATTTTGAAAACGTCAGACGTTTCAGCTAGTATCCACTAGCTTTCGTCAGTGACTGAGAGACCAGAGGAGAAAACAGGTACTGGATTAGTCGTGAATCCAATATAATAACATTTGGACAGGATCATCCTTTGAAGAAAAGCACAAGGATTATCTATTCAATCCATTCAAGTAGCCGTCTCTTTTTCAAGTGGTAAAGATAATCCATTGATGGTACTGGTGTTATGCCACGTGTAAATATTTGATGAATGTACTGTACATGTATGTTTGGGCATTATTGTCCAGAAGTCTTTGAAGACTAGTGGTGTGCCTGAGGGATTTTCTGATTGAAAAGACTCATTGAAATGAACAATGGATGCCCATATTGCAATAGCTATCACTATGAATACTGAGAGAAAACTTGTTTATCTATCTTCTCTACACTAGTGCTGCTATGTTATTGTTTCTTTTCACAACAAAACTGTCTTTTTTCAAAGGTTCTGAATCAGCTTCTTTACAAGTGAAAGAGTGTAGGGTAATTGGAATTTCAAGCTGGGGCCTTTTAGTAAACCGAATTACTAAAAGGACAATTCAGCAAGGCTATGGTGAAATTTTTCAGGGACTTTATATTTGTTGTCAAGGACCATAGAGTAAAAAACAAACATTTGTCATGGCTAGTGTACAAAATATGATGGAAAGAACACTTGTCGTATTTCTGCCGAAAATGTTCTGAGCTCACAGACTTGCTGGGCAGGTTATTTTCCTGCTGTCCCTGTGTAACAGGGCTCAAGCACCACCATCTCGCCAATCTAACTGGGCCGGACCTTTCTGCCTTCTACTTTCTAGCCACACAAATCTGGATATAAAGACCCCCCACCCCCCACGTAGACCGCTCTTCTGCTCAGGCTAAAAATGAAACATGATCAGTCACTATAATGTTTCAAGAAAAAATATATGCCATCATAACAGACCTTTGCGGGACTGTAGCCGCTATGCGTCAGACCATGACGCCTGCGGAGGATTGATTGATTAACATACTACGAGTCACAAATCTGTCATTTTATACATTTTACCATACTTATATGAGAAATTATGTTTTTTTTTTAAATCCCATTTTATCAGTAACTTTTCTTGTACAAAAAATCTATGGTTTAATTTTCATTATCATGCAAATTTTCTGTTTTCAATTCAATTAAGGATAGCACACTTACCTGGCAGACCAGGGCGATAAAAATGAGTAATATTCGTCGACGAACTTCCTTGGCTGTTGTCATGGTCGTTTCCTACTAGAGAGCTTCCTCCTCAGAACTTGACATCAGCATCCTTGAAAACTATATGCTACAGCTAACTACATTTTACACCATCCAATGGTCCAGTTTGGGACTGGATGTTGAGTTGTTTCTTTTACAGAAAGCAGTAAGTGTTTTCATGTCTTACAGCAAGTGACTGATAGCAGTCTGCTACCCCTGCCTTCTTTCGTTTTGTCATTTCTGTGGAACGCGTTAACAAAAGCGTTAAAACCAGCCACAATAGACTGATCTTGTAGCCCCGCCTACTTGCGTCAAAACGGAGAAACAGTTGACGTGCGTACAACCGCTCTCTCATTGGTTAAACCACTAATTGCCATGCTCTCATTGGTTGAACTGCTAACAATTTTGTTTGAAAGTTAGAAACAACGTATACGCATACGTAACAGCTTTAGATTGTAAACACAAGAGAACCGGAAAGGATTCAGGTCCTGATCCCTTCTTTTGACAAAACAGAATAGTACTAGTAGCAAGCTTTACCCTGTAAACTCTGTCGATCTAGAAAATAGCTGGACACAAAGCCTTCTTCGGAACAATTTTAATTGGATTATATATAATTCATAAACATGGAATTTGTCCATAAACTAGTTTATATTAGGCCAGAACACATTAGGATCAGTAGTTAGGTCAAGGAGGTTCTCCCCCTATAAACTATTGGGTAGGTGGGACAGATTTCTTACACCCAAATATTAATACTTAAGTCTTATACTACAGCAGAAATATCTGCACAGCCCTGGAATTCTACCTGCAACAACCAAATTACCTTCAACCCTAACTTCACTGAAAACAATTCTTCTGCAGTGCTAGTAAAAACACAAGGGAAAATTCCACGATATACAGTATTTTTCCAAAACATTTATTTACCAAAGAGAGATTTCAGCTCTTTTCTTACATCTTAGACACTGGAAAGTCTAATATAACACTTAAATAAATTTAACAAAACAAAATGGATAATACTTTATTCTCTGAGGAATATGTATTTATACTCACTTCAGGATATAAGTATTCCTTAAACTGCATAGGAGTCACGCTGATTTTAGAACATACAGAAGGAAAACATCAGGCTCAAAACATAGAATAAATTCTTTTTAACTTTCTGCTCCAGTTCTTCTTCTGTTCCAAACATATAAGGTCAATTACCTGGACCAGATGGCTGCCACTATTGTAACTACATGTATTGCTATAGCAGACACCCTGTAGTGTGGTGTTGGATTACAAATGTTATCAATGATTATGTAGCAAGTGGCAGAACATCTAGTTGGAGGGGCTGGTCACCATATATGAGTGAGTAGTCAGTAACAGTGTGAAGGTAAACAAACAGTATGTACATATATTTGCTTTACAAATATTACCTTTAAGCCTTTCTAGTCCAACTTGCATCTTGTTAATAGATAATGGTGAGCATAAGTGTCAAGCGTCTTGGTCCCTGGAACATAACTTTTGTTTTTCAAGTTCTTGGCTAATGTGTTGTTGACGGTTCGGTGAAGAATTTGCTGTAGTGTCTTGAGGCGACTTCGAATTCAGAACCAGGTCTTGAGGTTTCTTCATAAGCAGCACCTTAGAAGTTAGAGGATGAATGAATGAGTGAATGACTTATCCTGTAAAATATCTAGCAGTCAGAGGTTGAATTACATCTGATTTTTGACTGAGGTTTCAGTGTTCAGTTCTTTAGAGCTGTCCTCTAGCACACCAAGAAAAAATGGGCTATAGATTGAAGTATATATATTTTTATCTAAATGAGACAATTTAGGTCCAACTCCCAGTACATGGGAGCACATGGTCTGGTAACCAGGCTAGCCTGGGCTTGGGGACACCCCATATTTTCCATAAACCCCCTCCTTTAGTCCAGGTACAGTATACAAAATAGTACCTAGCTAGAACTGTTGCGAACATAGGATAACAACAACAAAGATGTGGACAGATGTAGCAACAAACCTACCGGGGAGTTCCATAAACATCAAAATTATCACGTCGCTTCATCAGAAATCCAGCAAGAGTTGCGGAAGGATCTTCTCCAAGTGTTCGACCTCCACTGTTTCCGCGCCCTCCGACCGAGCCTGGTCACAAGAGCGGGCCGCCATTTCCAGCACAAACAGTCGCAGCAGCTCCGTCGTCAGCTTGACGGAGTCCGTGTTCATTCTGGTCTTGCCGTTGTCCTGAAAGTGATGCTTGACGATCTTTTCTACAGTCGACAACTTGAAACTGGCGCCATTTTCCGCCATCTTGGATTTTTGTTACCCACAATGCTTCAATACGGGACAGTTCATTCATAGTCAATGGGTGGTCTCACTTGGTTTCACCTTACAAATATTAGAAAAATACCAAAGAATTAGCACCTTTTTTCTAACTTTTAGGAGTGTTAATAGTTATCTAAACTTTTAAGTTCTTCTGAATTCTTTCGTACGCCACAATACAATAGTCCAGCAAAGCAGAACTGTAAAGTTTTTGAATGATCCCTAATTGTAAGGTCAGAGGTGAAACTACCCCAAGATGGCGGGTTTTGGTGGAGATTCTTGGTTAGAAAACTCGTTTTTTAGCACTTTTCTTTTACGTTTCTTTTAACCTGGAGCAATATTTATGAATACAGTTAAAATATGCTTATTATGTTCCCTATTAGACGACTTTATATTGCAGTTACGTTAGTGAATAATGTTTTTAAAGAGGGTATAACGTTGTAGCATAATTTTCATAATCATGTGATTTTCAGCTGTTTTGTTGGATACCAGAGGCTTCCAGTATGTTCTATCTTGCCCTGTGTGATGTCATTGGTTTAAGAGAGGACACTGGCACAAACTAGAACCTGCCATTGACACCCATTAGCAGTGATGGCTGAAGGGACTAATGCTTGTCATGGGACCCATTTGGCCAAGTCAAATCAAGTCTATTCTCTGTGTCAAATTATATCTGTTCAAATGTGACAGTGAAATAAAAGTTTGGACCCTGTTAAGCACATCGGCACCGTAGTGCATACTGTGCTTAAGTGAAACCTTGATTTTCATGATTTTTGTTGGATGAGAGTCATCATAACGTTTTGCCGAAGTATAGGTTTTTCGCAGGCGCAGTACGTCCCACCGACATACTTTTTTTGTTACCGTCGGCGAAGGCATACTTTTTTGTTGCATACATGTAGTTATGTAATTTTTCTATGTCTCATGAAGTATGAAAAATATGAAGTAAGAAAAAGATGCAAAATTATTAAAAGCTGAAGACAGTTTTTGTCTGCAGATATGCATCACGTTGTTTGCATCTGCATTCATGGTTGCTGTACACCAGAGAATTCCATAACTGTGGCCGCAGCATCCATTACCCCTGGCAAGGGTCAGACCTTGGGCAGTTAAATGCATCTGTCTACTGTCTGTTGTGTTAGTGAACGTGAAAGAAACGGCTTTGCTCAAAATGAATATCGGGCCATTTCTTATGTCTGGATTTTTAGTATAAGGCAGCTCGATATAAAACCCATCCTTGGAGTTGCGGACAAAATGTAGGTATATCCTGTCTCGTAAACTTGTGATATATGTTATTATTAGTCATGATTGTAAAGAGGTAATTTAATGTTTGTAATAATATATGACAGCTGATATATGATCTAACAAGGTATTGTATTATGCGACAGCAAGAACTAAAATTGTGCCTAGGTCAGTTGTTGACTTTGCATCTTTACAAATTTTAGGTATCCAGGTACAGGTTATGGGTTAAGGTACAGACCCGGACGTGTAACTGTAACCTAAACAATTTTGTCCAATCTTTTCAGCCAACTGTCTCTTTTAGTGGTATATTGTTGTCCTTGTATGTGTGTCTTGGGCACCGTGTTGGAAGATGGAGCCCATTTGACGTCAAATGAGATATGTTTAATGATCCGTTTGTGCTAATTTTCTGCTGTCTTTCTAACTATGCCCAGGTTGTCAGAGTTTTCCAGCTGTGAGCAGCAAGCTCAAGAAATTTTGGAGAAAATCCATGAAAGAAACAAGCAGCAAAGAAGTGGGGCCAACTATTCAAAGGTAGGTGATGACAGTAATCAACACATGTAGTCTCCTTTAGGCAGACAAGAACCAATGGTTTCAGGACACTTGTCCTGCATAGCTTTGATGGCCTCTAGGTTTAGATTGACCAAAATACATTGTGTAAATGAGCACACTGAGTTGGACATTGCCCCCTACCTCAATCACGCTATTTTTGCTTTGGAGCTACGTGTATTTAAATTGTCCAAATATGAAAATGAGGTAAATGTTGAAAACTGAAGTTAAGTCCTGCTATAGAGTCTTTCTTGTTCATTTAGATAAGAAAGAGGGGTAGGAAATGGAAAACATAAGAGGATAATATCAGAGAATGGACTGGCATGACACTAACTTGACTTTAAGCGAAACATTATTAGAAGAAGATAAACTTTACTGGAAGATTACAAGTACTTACCTGACAAGAATGGAGAAAAATAAGGGATAGATGACACAAGACCACTGTATTTGTTTCTCATCTCGATTCCATTTTTCTCCACAGCTGAACTCTGCCATCAGAGTACAGATGAAGAAATTTTCGCGAGACCTGGTGACGTTGAGACAAGGGCTGTCCAAAGCCAGCTCAGCCTATCACATGTATCCTAACATAACATGCTCGGGTGACTTAAGGCTCAGTGGGGTCGTGTGGCATAGCGGTAGGGTGTTCGGCTCGAAATCAAGAGGTCCCGGGTTCGAACCCTACCTTGCCTTGTCACTGATCTTGCGCCCTTGGGAAAGGCACTTTACATGACTTTCCTCACTTTACTCAGGTGAAAAGGAGCATGCCAGAATGATCATTATTATGATCATGGGCATTAAAAAGAAAACCAAAACCAACACTTTAGATCTAAGCATGAGCCACCAAAATACATGTACTTTGCCAGAAATCTAGCCTTGTTAGCTATAGATCCGCTCCCAAAAAATTGGTGGGGAGCAAATTTTTGGGAGCGGACCTATGGCTAACAAAGCTGGAATTCAGGCTCCGAAAATACACAAGAAACATGTAAAGCCTAAAGGGGGTGAGAAAGGCACTGGAATACAGTATGCCATATTCTGTTGTAGTCCTATGATTAGAGTCAGGAACCGAACCCCATAGATTTTGATGTACAATGTACCAAAAAGTGCTCAGGTCACTTAGTGTGGTCCTCAGATTAATGAATTCTGATGTATTTCAGTACATTCCTGTATTTAGAAAGACCTCTCTGACTTTAATTTGTGTACTGGTATTTCAGTTTGTACTAGCAGGACTGCCACTATACACTATACACAGTAAACTTGCTCCCCCCATGGGTAATTATCTATCAATTGTTCCTCCTTCTTCTTCCATCACCTTTCTGTCTTAAAATCACCTTCGAATCAAACCCCTTGACCAAGACGTTAAGAACACAGAGGGAAATGCAGAGAAGACAGGACATGTTAGATAACTTGAGCGCTAAGGAAAGGCAGATCGAGGATGCCTTCAGGAACGACCGACCAGACAACAGCGAAGGAAGGTAACTGGTGTCTGTATCTGTATAGCCGGTATAACCGCCTTTCGGCGTAACACACCAGCTTCGCAGGCATGCGGCGCGGCGGCAGCTGGCTATATTACACCGATCGACTTGTTACACCTAACCCTTGAACTTCTAGCTCTAGACATTGTTTAAAGCTATCTATTGACAATGCCCCTACTGTACTTGGTGACAGTGAGTTCCACTCTGCGATAGTTCTAGGAAAGAATGAATTCTTGAACACCTCAATCCTTGGTTGATAACTCTGGTACTTGAATGCATGGCTATTTGTGCTACTAGCTGTGGTGTTGCAGGGCTCGAAATATTGGGTGCATGTGCACCTTAGTGCTCCCAAAATTGGAGCAGTGATGTTTTTCTGTGGGTGCACCCCAATATTTTTGTAGGTATCTTTGTACAGATTAAATGTATAATAGTATACAGGATATTCTTGGCATCTAAGGGTCAGGAAAATAATATAATCTTTCAATTTCATGTTACATGAATGTCCACTGTAAATTTTGTATTTGTTACCCCAATCTTGTGATTGTGTTCATCCCTCTCGGCTATGCGTTAGGGTCAGAGTTTCTGCAAAGTTTTTTCCTGTCCATTCTTGGATGTTGTCATCCCATTTGTTTTTTTACATGTATGTGCTTTCTGTCTAATGCTCTTAAATCTATGTGAATAAGATTAAACAACTAATAATAGGGGAATTTGCAGCTAGATGGCTGCTTCAGTGTGCCCTTAACTGCCATGTACCAGAACTCAGAGAGAACTAGAAAGACGACAGAACATGTTAGACAATCTGGCCTCCAAAGAGAAACAGCTGAACGATGCTAGCAAAAATGACCAAGTTGCGGCTCCCACTGAGAGGTAACTAAAAAAAAAAAAATCAAAATCAGAGTCAACCATTTTTAATGCAGCCAATTATGCCAACAAAATGATGATTTAATTTCTTGTGCCAACAAAATGATGATTCAATTTGATAATGTTGTATTTTGTATCTATTGGATTGGAATCACTAAAATTGAGGAAAAATCGAAATCAAACATGTTGTATCTTCAGTAATTGGCATTTTGTGATTTTCATAAGCTGTGATCATGTAATTTTATGTGTTACATTGAATCAAGGGTTCAATTCTACAACATGACTATATGTTCCAGTACAGGTATGCAGGAAAAATAACTTTGAGCCATGATGTACATAATGGTACAACATTGATTAATTGTTATCTTACCTGAAATATTACTGGTAGTCCACAGCATGGTATAAAATTGATTTCATTTTTGGTGTCATATTGATCATTGTGATATTGTTATTCCCCTGACTGTGAATCAAAATTTGACAGAAACACAAGATTATTAATGTACTCATGATATAACATTGATTTTTATTAATATAATAATTGTTATAGTATGCCCAAGTGTGTGGGTCTCAGATTCGCAACCTGTTATCCACCTTAAACAAATCCACGCGAAGGCCACCATGTCAACCCTCCTCACTCAGGTGTAGGGACTGACACGGTAATACTACTCGGAAAGTCTGTATCTGTATATATTCTGTACATGGATCAGTATCTGTACATGACTATGTATCTGTACATGAATCTGTATCCGATTGCAAATAAACATCACGAGTGATTGCCATAGAATTGTTATAGTAAATGTTGATTGTTTGTCCCCGTCAGGTCCAACTTGTTTGGTAACCAGGGCTCGGCGGGTTTCCATGACGACCCCTGGGCGACCGAGGAGTCGGAGGAAACCCGCGGTCTGAACGTGTCGGACATCCGCCAGCAGCAGACCAGAGTTATGGACGGTAACTGCTTTACAAGTATAGTCTTTATATGTATCTTTGGCATGTGGCATCTGTGTGGTATAGTGTCAAGTCAAGAGCATCTCACTGTCAAGCAAGGAGACCCAGGTTCAATCCCCAGGGTTGGACCCAGACATGTCCGGACTAGCACCCAGACATTGTGCCCTTGGGAAAGGCACTTTACTGTTACACGTATTTCCCCCCCTCAGTTAGAGGGATCCTGGGCCCTACTAGGTTTTGGGATGGCATTAGGAAGGGCATCCAGCCGTAATAGTGATGATGTCCCTACTAGTACTGTACTTGGTGGCAGTAAGTTCCACTCTACAATACATGTAGTTCTAGGAAAAAATGAGTTTTTGAACACCTCATCAATCCTTATATCTGATACATGTATATGATAACTATGGTATACTTGAATAACTTGAAGGTCAAGAAAATTCAAGATACCTTCGGAAATTCTGAAATCACTGATTTCTTGCTAGAATTTAGAAAGTCTCCATGATAACCCAGTTTGCTGTTCCTCCTTCCCAGAACAAGACCGAGGCTTAGACGTGCTGTCCTCTGTCATCGCGCGTCAGAAACAGCTGGGACAGGCCATCGGGGACGAGGTGGACCTTCAGAACGGTGGGTCACTGTACTGTACATAGGATTTCTTCATGTTGGCTTACCTGTATATGTCTGTCTAAATGGTATACAAGTGTTTGTAAGATACACAATCATGACTAACATCTGTGTCCATAATATCACCAGGGTCCATAATATCACCAGGGTCCATAATATCGCCACCTTGAGAAAAAGTGTGCTTAAAGATATTTTTACTGCAACATACCCTAGGTATGTACATTTGAGGTGTGCAGGAGTGCATACCAAAAGTATGTTGCAGTAAAAATATCTTTAAGCACACTGTTTCTCAAGGTGGCGATATTATGGACTCTGGTGATATTATGGACACTGATGTTATATAATTATGACTATCAAAATCAGATTGATTATGAATTAATGGAATGTAGTATCGACTTATTAGGTAATTGAAGAATTCACAATTCTTTTGTGTCAAAACACTGAATTATGAATATAAAGTGCCTGTGGAGTAAAAGACAATTCACTGTGTTGTTCCCTACTCCCCAGTAAGGGTACTGGTAAAGCCCTGCAGTACTGCATTTCTTCACAAGGTGTCTCTGTTAGTCTGTTGCTTGTCTGCTCCCAAGCTTAGGTTCCCTACATTGTATCTCACTGGAGTTGATCTCACAGAAAAGTATCAAGATTATGGTTATTGTGAGAGAATCGGTGTACCTAAATATTTGTAACGGTACAAGTATATTATTTACATGGAGTGTAGAAATCATAAATTTGGCAAGGAAAAAAATTCAGTTGCAGAAAAGTTGCTGAAAGCCTATGGTGCCCCCGTCACTATTAGGAATATGGTTATAAGGCTCCTGCAAACCAAACTCTGGTTCCACATATAAGATTTGTTAACAGTTACTGGAGGTTAACATTGAACACCTAAATCTATTACTATTCTAGTGGCAGAGTCATTTTGGCTCAGAAACAAGATGTTGCTTCGTTCACAGACTCGTTTTAAAAGTACAAGTGTGGCCCTGGGTCGAAGATTTTTTAAATTTGACGCATTGGAAGTTAGCTTGTTGCTAGAATGAGTTGCTATTCGAGTTATAAAGTCGTTTTAGCTTGGGAAGGAGACAGTTCAGAATCTTGACTTTTGTTTGACATTTCGGAGGTCTGTTGCTGGGATGAGTTGCTATTTGAGCCACCGTGTCGTCTTGGCTCAGTCAGTTTCCCATAAGTTTTATTTTTCTTTTCTATAAAACTCTAGTTCCGCATTTAAGGTTCTTTAACTTTTGGACATTTTGAAAGCTATCAACTTCTTTGACACTTGGAGGTTAACAAAGAACGTCAAAAGTCTGTTGCTGGGATGAGTTGCTGTTAGAGTCGCTGAGTTGTATTGGCTCAGAAACAAGATCGTTTCCGATAGTTTTTTTTCTGTTGCTCCTCCAGTTCATCAGAATCTTGACTTTAGTTTGACATTTCGGAGGTCTGTTGCTGGGATGAGTTGCTATTCGAGTCTCCGTGTCGTCTTGGCTGGGAAACAGGGCCGATTTCCCGGAATCCCGGCCCCACACATGTTGGCGTTGACCCGGGCACTGTCCTGGCAGGGAGGGAGGCGCAGAAAGGGCCCTTTGTCATCCCACAAACGTCTCAACTATGCCGGCCGGGGTACCGGGGTGTGGTAACGTCATTGTGTGGCGATCAGCCGTGTCGGAAAGGGTCGGCCGTCGATTACTCTTCCTATAAGTCGCCGTGATTTGATTTACTTCGCGGGGTCGCCACGGTTTAGGCGGAAAACGCACCATGATACTGTTGTTACGAGAGATTAGTGTTCGTTTTAATCAAGGCTAGGTGATACAGGGACAGGGATCTCTGCTACATGTACATTAAGTAGAGCCAGTGTCATACTATAAGTCGCAGTGATTTGATTTTCTAGTACTTCGCGGGGTCGACACGGTTTAGGCGGCAAACGCACCATGATACTGTTGTTAAGAGAGATTTAGTAATCCGTTTTAATCAAGGCGAGGTGATACGGGGACAGGGATCTCTGCTACATTAAGTACAGCCAGTGTCGTACTATAAGTCGCCGTGATTTGATTTTCTAGTACTTCGCGGGGTCGACACGGTTTAGGCGGCAAACCGGCACCACGGGATTGTCGTTTGTTACGAGAGATTTAGTAATCCGTTTTAATCAAGGCGAGGTGATACAGGGACAGGGATCTCTGCTACATTAAGTAGAGCCAGTGTCATACTATAAGTCGCCGTAATTTTATATTCACCTGTACGTGGTCACCACGGTTTAGGCGGCAAACCGGCACCGCAGGATTGTCGTTTGTTACGAGAGATTTAGTAATCCGTTTTAGTCAAGGCGAGGTGATACGGGGACAGGGATCTCTGCTACATTAAGTAGAGCCAGTGTCATAGAATAAGTCGCCATGATTTTATTTACTAGTACTTCGCGGGGTCGACACGGTTTAGGCGGCAAACCGGCACCGCGGGATTGTCGTTTGTTAGGAGAGATTTAGTAATCCGTTTTAGTCAAGGCGAGGTGATACAGGGACAGGGATCTCTGCTACATTAAGTAGAGCCAGTGTCATAGAATAAGTCGCCATGATTTTATTTACTAGTACTTCGCGGGGTCGACACGGTTTAGGCGGCAAAACTGGCACCGCGGGATTGTCGTTTGTTACGAGAGATTTAGTAACCCGTTTTAATCAAGGCAAGGTGATACAGGGACAGGGAACTCTGTTGGTAGAGTCAGTGTCATACCAAGGAGGATAGAATCACGGTTTGGGCGGAAAACGCACCATAATACTGTTGTTACGAGAGATGTAGTAATCTGTTTTAATCTGTTTAATTTTATTTGCTGGGTTAACTGTAACAACCTATGAAGTGTAAAAGAAATGATGTCAGTGGTTTCTGGTCATGTTTTAGTACAATCCATACTTCCTAAATTCTGAGTGGAGCAGGTAAAATTTGTCTGTTGCAGGTAATTGTCAATTTTACCTGCACCAGTGCATGTACATATGCAGAAAAAAAAGTATTTTTGAGCCCAGACTGCACAGCTGAACTATCCTATCATGACTGAAGGTTGGTGAATAGCTTACAGTGCCTTACTGGACTGCCTGGTGGGATGGGGTCAGTTAGGATGACTTTTGGATGACTTCTGCCAGTTGGCATTATCCCACACAACTGTGTCAATTACAATATTACACCATACAACTACAAGTGTGTTTAAAAGCTGGAAACACAGCTGTCAGTCATGTTTGTTTACATTCAGGTATTTTGTGGTGGTGCCACAAAATGAATTTGCCTCATGTGAGCCATTTCATTGCCAACCAGAAATGTCAGAAATGTAACATAATAGCACGAATGAATTGAAGAGTGAATGAAAATCATAATAAAGATTTTTTTTCCATTAGAAATAGTTCAGCTTTTGGTGCAAATGGTAAATAATCCCCCTTTAAACTTTTATACACCAACCCCCCTCCCCCTGCATCTTTACATTGACAGATGCCCCCTCCGCAGATCCAAGCTCCAGAGTTCAAGTTACTGCGAGCATATTTGCTTTGGTGCGGGGGAATTACCAGTTGTACTTGATCAAGCACGTTCGTTGCGTCCCTATCTATTTATCATCAACAAGGTGCATTGTAGTCAAAACACCGGCTTGTTAAGCACTTCTAAATAAGGGGATCGGCCTGATGAGGTGTCTGTTATCAGGGTGGGAAACTGTAGCAGCCCAACACAAGGTGAAGTGGAGGTAACACTAGGACCCCGGCTTTCCTGTTATGAGTCTTGATAGCACGTTTTTGGACAAAGTGGTGTCAATCCGTCGAAGGTTGTGTTAAGCCGGTTTAATCCCCCCAAGGATAAGGAACATGGTGCGGATTAGGGCTGGGCTGGGATGGCTCCTGCCAGAGGACATAGGGCTGAGGGGAAAAAATGTTGTGTTTCCTGTTTCCTGATCGACCCTAGAAAAACTGCCAACCCTACCCTTTTTTTGGGTGGACCCTCTTGCAAGGAACATAAATTTTTGGAGCTGACCGACCTTTTCTAGCTCCATGATCTGACACCTGAGTGATGAAATGTTGTACAATCGGTTTTCCAACAATGGCATTGAAAATATAAGTGTCCTAATGCAATTTTTACTTTGTTAAAATACTGTATTGTATAACTTGCATCACTAGAGATCACAAAAGTCTAAAGACGAAGAAAAAAGATAATCCCTACCTACCGACCCTGAATTTTTCAGGACTGAAACAGGAAACAACACATTTTTTTTCCTAGGCCTAGGCTGACGTGTATTACCCGTGTGTTCTGCCTTTCCGCTCTGAGTGCGAAGATTGATCGACTGTGTCATCGGAATGCAACACAGTTTTAAAAAAAAGACACGAATTAGTCAGAGGGAAGGATATCAAAACGTTTCCACTCATTCGTTTTGCCTTTTCCGCTGTTCATCCATCTGTGAAGATTAATTGACTGGAATGCAACACAGTTTTTAAAAAAAAAGCGGATTAGTCAGAGGAAAGGATATTGCGGCGAACAGGGGGATGACACGTTTTGGTGCGGTCGTTTGGCCGTTTTCGGGGAACGTTAACTCGCCTTTTCCGCTGTTAATCCATCTGTGAAAATTAATCGACTGGAATGCAACACAGTTTTTTTTTTAAAAAGCGGATTAGTCAGAGGGAGGGATATCGCGGCGAACAGGGGGATGACACTTTTCGGAGCGGTCGTTTGGCCGTTTTCTGGGAACGTTAACTCGCCTTTTCCGCTGTTGATTCATCTGTGAAGATTAATTGACTGGAATGCAACACAGTTTTTTTTTTAAAGCGGATTAGTCAGAGGAAAGGATATTGTGGCGAACAGAGGGATGACACGTTTCGGTGCGGTCGTTTGGCCGTTTTCGGGGAACGTTAACTCGCCTTTTCCGCTGCTGATCCATCTGTGTTACACCGCGGTGTTGATTAGCAAATACTTCCCAGGGTTCTGACACTATTTTTATGCACCGGAGTATATTTGCCCTCTCATTTGTCCATTTGATACATCTGTTTCACCCCCGA